TCTAAATCAATTACATCCACATGTGGTGAGAGAATAAAATATCAAATAATTGTTAAGACAGACGATTTGTTCGTGGAGAATTATAGCTAATTTCAATTATGAAGCATTTACTTTGGAACTCAAACCTAGGACTTCTAGGTCGTATTTTTACGTTTTCAATGTTAAAAATGGTATTAGGTTAGGTGAGGTTCATAGCGGCGGACGGTAAATAATCTATTTTCTCGGCATTACATAGTAGTATGTTTATTGTTTAGTACCGATTTCTAGTTTTAATTGGGTAATAGACGCATGATGCGGGCCTTAACGAATGCCAATCGAGGCTCATTCAATCAATATCCAATTGGTAGACTAGAATCTTATTTCAACTAAAGGTACATTAATCGTATAATTTAAAGAGATAATTATACTCTTCCTGATAAGATGCTCTTTTTAATCGAGCATGTACTTATTTGATCCAGTCTACTTACTTCAAAGCATTTTTACCCTTTCTAAAAGTAAAAATATTTTTGTAGTTACATTATTTTTTGTTAAAACCCGAAATAAGTTAATTCTGTCGTCGTGTACTCGTCTTGCAGTACTGTCTGGAGTTTAAAAGCGTAAACTGCAGACAATATTGTAGTGTTGACGAGTGAATTATTAAAACTTGATTGGCGTTTCTATTAGATAATCGTGTAAAACGCAACACCAGTAAGCGAGCAAGTCTTGCCCAAATCAAAGATAGCCCATTGACGCCGCGCGAGAACATTCACTCAGACGAACAAAACGAATGAAAAATGTGTCTACTTTTCCGCAATTTCCATTCGCATTGTTTCTGAGCAGCTCTATTATTGTATTAGAGTCCCGCGTCTTTTCTACTAGTTTTGTCGTGTGTTTTCAGGACCTTTACGTCGGACACTTAAATGCCTCGTAATCACTTCAGGACAAAAAACAAAGGGATTTTATTTGTCAAGTGTCTTGTTCTCTTAAAATAATAAAAAAGCCCACCGCCTCGATTGCGGTATTTCCAGGAACGATTCTTATTATTGTATTGTTTATTTTCCTTAGGCCTTTTACAGGAATACGACCGCGTTTGTCCTCAAAGCTGCCCCAGTTAATAAACGCTTATATGCGCCGAATGTATTATTAATAGCATCTTAAGTTTCTGTTTTCGATTTAAGAATTTTTAACTTTGCATGGTCGTATTCGTCGTACGAGTCAATAGTTATTCGTTAAGTAAAAAGATAATAATAATGTCGGTCTAGTCTCCGGTCGGTATTAGTGATCTATCAAAAGAACGCGAGGGAATAAAACGTCCTTACGAGACTGCAACGTCTGGAAGCGGCTGCCGGTCGCTACGGATACGTAATGGCGAAGTCAGGCGAACGACTCACCATGAGGTTGTCCATGGAGTTGTAACCGCATATGACGTATCCCATCATTTTATTGGCCATTGTCACTCGGCAACCGTTCGGAACCCACTTTTCACGCACAACTCAACACATCTCCGACGCCCGACGTCGATCTTGCACGATGGTGTACGGCAAACTGATCTTCCGATTCTCCCGGCGCAAGTACGGGATGTAACGTAAACACACGCGTTTAGTATTTATTACAAATGTCTCGACTCGCAGTCGACGCGACGGCGTGCGGCGAACGAATCGTATCGTAATGGCGACACCAGATAATTTGGAACAGAAACATCTCTTTCTACGACAGAAGAGGACAGGCAAGAGTGGGGTTCAGATGATAGGAGGTGAATACTCCGGCCGTATAAAAAATCGAGACGTTTTCGACTCGCACATGTGGACGGTAGTTTGTAAAGGTAATCTCTATATTTTTGGTATCTAGATTTCCTTTCCTAAAAAAAATAATACATCCATTTTATATACGATTAAATCCAGCGCGAATCGAACACAAGAGGGTCCATTGGTATATGGAGACTGAAGAAATAGCCCGCCAAGTCGGTTTATTATGAAATTACATATCAGAAAATATCATAACAGCTACATAACAAACACAATTTCCGGAAACGATGGCGGAAGGCTTTCTAAATTTTCTCCGAAAGTAGTGAATCAATATCATTGCAGTCCGCAGATTAAGTTAATGTTATAAATATATACAAACATTAAGATAATAAATAAGAATTTTAATGTTTAGAAAGTGGACTACAGCGCAATTATGTCCAATCAAATTAAAAATATTTTTTTCGTGTGCTAGGTACCTACACCTATCAATGTCAATACAGTTAAATTTAAATTCTATTCATATTTATTATCGAACTGATATTTTTACCTTTACCATAAATCTAATCTAAAATATTGCAAATTGTTTTTTTTTTTTTGGACTCTTACGTATTGTGTTCCTAAGGAGCCACGAATACTAACCGGGCGTTTTGGGCGAGCGCGATAGCGCTCGCCGTGTTTGCGGCTAGACCAAGGGTGCCCCGAGGGGGGCATCGGCCTCGGCTTGGACCGCCGCAATGCGGGTGGGAGCTAGAAGAGCTGGACGGAAGCTCACCCGGGTGAGCGGTACGCGAAGCGAATGACCTCGCCTACGCCGGCGTAGGCGGTTTTGCGGGCGATCGGCACCGGTGTCGGCCGATCGCATAGCAATAAGTAAGTCGACGGCTTTGGTTAAGTCGTCATCGGGGTCGGTGAGAGATTGCAAATTGAATTTCAACAACTATTATATAGAGATGATAACCCAAAGATAATGGAAAAACTAGCGATGAGCTCACGACCATATTTCGACCGAGATAATAGTATATTAGGCCCAGTGATAGTTATTTATGGCCATTGATAACCTGTCGAACCGAAATTCATTGATAAACGACGACCGAAATGCGAATCGTTCACTTAAGAGTCGAAATAGTTAACGAAAAAAACGCGATAAAGCTGTTAAGGGACACAGACTCACAACTAATTCAGAAACATGTCCGAATTATAGTTTTAGTTGGATGGTGCACTTTAGATTGCATCCGTCTGCAATCTTTGAAAAAGAAATGGAAAAAAAAGGATTCGTACTGAAAACTTCTGACTTTAATTAACTTTGAATTATTATTTTTGTAATTGGGTTTTTCTCTTGTTACTATAAAACATTTACCATTAACAATAAAATACACTTATATTTACTATAAGTTTATGGTAATGGTGGCCTAACAACATATATTTTTTCTTTCCGTGTAATGGAAAATGTAACGCCATTTAATAGCATGCTTTAACTGTTTAATGCTTAATTAAACATCATTTGCATTCCAATAGAAGGTTTGTAATATCGTACTTTGTAAGAATTGTAAGTTTGTAAGAATTGGTGCTAACTGCTTATTTTATAGTGTTGCCACATGTCTGCAAATTCGTGACGAATTAATTTAGCTAACTAGGCGCGTCCACACATGAGTAGGGCAACGAATATATTGTAGCTTATCGATTGTAAGATATTTTGTCAGTGCAAAAATGAAGAAAAAGATAATACAAGAATATGGATGTTGATATACACTGAATTGAAGCGGAATCTAAATGAAGTAATATAACCCGCTTTATTGATAAAACAAACATACAATCGTGAGGGAAAAAAGTAGGTGGGTTATGTTTATAATTGCAAACTAAACCGGGGTAAATAACATTTCCTTTATGAATATAATATATTTTTTATGCAGGGACCACAAATAAGCGTGGGTAATGTAAAGGCAGTCTAGCATGTTGCATAAAATCTTAAGTTGATTTTTAGAAATATGTTGTTCATTTTTCTCTATTGAACTACACCGCTAAGTTCTACCGTGCATACAATTTATATCACCGACTGTTTATATTTAAAGTAAATGTTTTGCGCGAGCGTTGTACTGCGTTGTTACTCTATTTATACACACACACACACCATTTAAATACTTGAGCTCAACAGAATTTTCCTGTTGTCGCTGATAACTTGCGGTTTTGGAACCCAACTATTGAAGCGAAAAGGAGAATTCTCGATGATTGTAAAGAATTAAAAGCCTTCAAGACAAATGTTACACTGCGAACAGAAGCACCCGCGACGTTTAATTCGCGTCCGAGTCATTTCGATCAAATTCAAAGACGCAGCCATATTTTATCATATCATTTGTCTATTGCTCTCGTATTTGGGTCAGGCGTCGGCCTCGATGCGCGGTGATCGATCAGTCGCCTTCAGTTATATCGTTATGAACCATTTATTGACCCATTTCCAGATCTGATTTATTTTTATTGCTCAAATTCGTTTGTGCCGAGACAGGAGCCAACAGCTCACGAACAGTTACAGACAATATATCACGCACATTGCCCAATCGGAGGATGCGGTAAGGCCTGTCAGTGTTATTGATAAACTACCTACCAATGAGTTCGATATCCATGTTTGTGAACTGAAATTAAATGGATCATATTGCTTTTTTACTCTTCAGGAAAACAGCTGAACGGATTAAGTTGAATCAAACCTTTAAGAACTTCAGAATACTATGACGTACAGTTAGGGGGAGCAGTAAAAGTTAACTAAATTTAGAATATCGATCTAAAAAGATCTTTGTATTCCATGCATGACAAAAGTACTATTATACATGAAACACAGCCTTCGCTGCTATATTTAGCGAGCTCTGCGCGTTGATAACGAGGTGATAACGATCATCTTCGATCTATTTCAACTCCTGAGCTGTATATATTACTACATTGCAATTCGCACATTATTTTGTTCTCCCTTTTTGTTATTTTCTTACCTACACGCTTTATGTAGAACCGATTGTAATGTAATAAAATTAAAATACAAATTAGGTTTGCAAAATGGCTTTGTTTTGATTTCTATCTTTTCACCAAGTTTAAAATATTAATTTGAAATTATGACATAAAAACTTGATACATCTATCCACATATGAAACCTTTTATTGATACAAACACAAGAACAAATAACCCTTATTTTAACCCCTCTTCCATGCAGCGCGAACATAATATTTATATTGGTCTCTTAGAAAAGTCAATTGGAAGTAACCAATTATCAAACGTGTACAAAGCGTTAGTGGCTTAAGGTAGAAAATAAGGCCTGACCTGTGCATCCCTCAAATCCGGTTCGCTGGCAGTGGCCGTCAACGCATCATCGGAATGGGAGACATCTCCTGCGCTTGCGCTCAACGATCTTCGTCGTCCTTCGTCTTCAGGCCGTTTGTCACTTTTTCCCGTCAGCATATTTTTTGTTTTTGAAAGAAGGTTGAGTGGCTTTATTGATTTGCGGACCTGAAAGTATTTGTATCATGAGAAAGGATTTCTATACTTTTCATTGTTTATCAAACTCATGAAATAGGCACCATGCACAATCTCTTTCTTGAGTCCTTCCGAGGTGTTAAAACAAAAAAGATATAAACTCTTTTACTTTTATATATCCTAAATATAGAACTTAAACCCTACTTTTATGTTAACGAGCAATAGAGCACAGCTTTTAGACCTACATAATAAATATATGACACTTGTATACCAGTTATAATAGCATAATCAATTATAACTAACCTTGCACTTAACTGCACCTGGATGAAGAAATTTTCCTTCGTCTTTGTCTTCTGGAAGCGGTTGATCCCTCATCCCCAAAACAAGCATATCATCCAGCGAAGCCTGTAAATGTTTACGTCGAGTCGGCCGTGCCTCCTCGTGACTCCTCGATGAATATACGGACACGGTGTCCATACTAGCCTTACTGAGACCAGAAATGACCGTTACATTTTCAACTGACTCGTTCGAATGATAATCAGGATGACGCGAACGGTCCTCATATGTCTCCACATAATTGAACGTCTCCGCGGCTTGATCTAATTCGTCCACTTCCAAGTTCGACGGAATAAACTCGTAATGCCCTTCGTTCTCTGTGTACACCTGGTCATAAACGGCACCATTGAACCCTCGGGAAGTGGATGGAATGTTGCCATAGATATTATTGTAATTGTAATTGTCGTCTTCGTTTCTCGGACTGACGTGACGAGCGAGATCGTTCGCATTTAGAATGACGTCGTCCAAGTTTAGAGGTCGGCCCTGTCCACCGAATCCGTCGACGACGGGAGTAGTATTAGACAGAAATGACCCGTCTGCGTCGAAACTGCTGCAGCCGACTAAACCTACCGGTCGTGGCAATTCTTGATGAAATCGATTTTGCGAGGACTGTTGATTGGCAAAATCTACAACCAAAATTCTATCAGCAACATTTCTGCAATCATTATGAAAGCCAATTCCAGAATCACTATTACTTGAGGTGGTCGTTATTTCACTGTGATTACTGGGTTGAGGAGAATTCGCCACAAAATCTGGCTCCATTCTAATCTCTTCGTGTCTGCACGGCCTCCTCTCGCGTAACGGTCTAAACATGGGCCGATTAGACCTTGAGAAGTCGCTCGGAGCGGGACTATCACTCTTGATTGCCAATTTTGATATCTGTTGAAGTACAGGGCTGGCACAATCATCGGGAGGTAAAGAATACATTCCGCGAATAACTCCCACCACGTACTCCGCTGACGGTGGAAACTCCAAACACCGCTCGGCAACAGGGTCCCGTGTACACGATATCTGAAATTCTCGAGCTCGAGAGACATGAACGTCGTGTTCAGCCATTCGGGGATCAACCACAAACACGTGACAGGAATGTGACGCTTCAATCTCTGACTCCGAGAGCTCCGCAGCTGTTACTAGTCCAAAAAATCTTCTATCTGCATCTGACCCACATCCAGCATACACAATCCTCTCTCGTCGGTACTGAGCGAGGATTTGTCCTGAAGGACGTCTAAGCAGCAAGGAGCTAGGAAGCACTGACAGTAGTACTGGCGTAGCAGCTCGTCTTTCCTGACGAAGTTTTCTCACAGCGGTTTTTACATTTTCTGGAGCAGAATTCGATGTCGACTGTGGTGTTTCAATTGTTCCTAAGTAACCGACAACTGTACGACATTCGAGTCGCGCAACTTGATTTGGGGCAAGCTGAGCTCGACTTAAGTTTTGTATAATCTCACTAATACCCGTTGTCGTTGAGGCAGCGTGTGCGTGACAACCTGTAACACCACAGTTATTCGGCTATTAAGTATAGTTTATTTATGGTTTTTAATATAAAACTAGAAAATTACTCTGATACTTAGATTTTACAATTAGTTACTAAAGCAATATAATCTCAATACTCTCTTCATTCATTTGGTACAAGTAAAGCATGTTATATACAAATAAGAAATAAGCAGCATTAGCCTGACCTATGAAACTTAGAAAAATTATAGTTATCAATATATAACTAAATTTCAGGCACAAATAAAAAGAATAGGACATCTATAAAAGATATTGCTATGACATCCCCTGACATCAAACAAGCAAATGCAAGTTAACAAATTCATATTTATTATATCTATTGCTTACTCAAGTAGGAGTATGCAATAGATATAATATGTTGTCAGTAGAGATTATTATTGGATTGCATAGAGCAAAAATAATAACTTGGAGGGACTAATGGATAAATTGTGGGCTGAGATTGTAAGTAATGATAATGGTTTTGGTGATTTTTGGTAGGAGATTATGAGCTTATCACAGTTCGACTTATTAAGGTGTACAAGGAAACATTTTATATATTTGACTAATAGTAGATATTATGTTATATGTACATGCAAACATGCAGTATAAAATGAAACATATTATGATAATTTTACTTTATCTGATTTGCATTAATTATGAAACAGACAGAGAAGTGACAATAAAGTTCATTACACAAAGATAACTGGTGACAACACAAAAGTGCAATGTGAGTACATATAATAAACACTTAATTACTCACATACCTATAAACTTCCTTTAGCATAGTAATCTGAAAAAATAATTATCAAAATCATATCCTATACCAACTGATAATAATTCACTGTATCATATTTACAATATTTCCAAAATATTGCAAATATGGTAGCAATGTTACACTTATTAACAATATATAAATACCCAGCACAAGTTTTTAAATGTATATACCACCACCTACACTTACAATAAATTAGTCTTACTTCATTACAAACATAAGTACCGGGATGATGTAAAACAGCGGGTTGCGGCCTACGTCTGGGTGGTGGATATCGCCTGCGAGTTCTTGCACGCTCCTCAGGTTCTGTATCCTCCGTGTCCGTAGGTGGTGTCTCTCTCGGTGCTACTGACAGTGCAATGGGCCCGTCTGCGGCTGCTATCATCCTGGCCACATTGGCATGAGGTGATCGGGCAACGCTCGCGCCATCTACAGCCAACAACGCATCCCCAGTGCAAAGACCAGCTCTTTCTGCTGGCCCACCGGGTGCAACTGCTGAAACTACACATGGTCGTTGTCCGGCGATAGTAAAACCAAATCCACCAGATCCTCTCGCTACCACTACTCGTCTCTCAGCATTCCGAGACAAAACCGCTCGACGACGCCTCCTTCTTTGCTGTTGGGGAACCATTCTCAGACTTCGTTCAACGTTTAAAAAGGCTGAGAGAGAACTTATTCTTCAACGACTCCTTGATTAATTTATGCATTTCATCCGTCACATTAACCCTTAGAAAACTAGAAAAACTTGAATTTCAAAACAGAAAGTTTCGAGGTCTTTATAACCGATTTGACGTTTAGAAAGTTTGTCTTCGTTCAAATACTTAAGTTTGTAATATTGTCACTACGGATTGTTTTTCAATTATATTCTTTAAATGTAACGTTTTGAATTAAGGTTTTATTACATTTTATTAACAATAGTTAATAAAAATTAACAATATACATATAAACGCAGACCGCGTAATTATATAATGATAACATATATTTAGTTTAATTTCTGAACGCAAGCATAAAGCATAGAGATGCCGCAGTCACTGTCAAAAAAATGCTATTGTATGTCAAACTTTGCGTCAATTAGTAATATGTAAATAGAAACATGTGCATTGTGGTTATAATTTGCGTATAAAAAATTGTAAATTGTAATTTTTAGTAGATCATTTTATTTACTTCATCAATAAAATTTAAACAAATTACAAAAATGGCGGTGAGTTAAAAAGTATACTTAGTAGTTATAGTATGATTACTTTTGTTAATTATTTTACTTTTGTTAATTATTTTAACTATCTTCTTTCAGAAAAAAGGTAAATTGAAAATAAGCAAAATTAAAAGAACCAATCATACGACGAACAAAATGAAGAAGTCTGGGAAATTAAAACTTCAGCGACATAAACCAAAAGTACAGAAACAACGTCAGACTGTTAAATCTCAACCGGAGTACAGCAGTGAGAGTGAGGAGTCAAATGATGAGTGGGCAGACATGTTGGATGACGAGGAGCAGAAATACATATTGACAAGGCTTGCAAAACAACCCCAATTGCTATCTAACATACCCGCAGAGGAAGCAAAAGAGTAATTTTTTTCTATTTTAGACAAGCATGTGGGTTACTTAGTAGAAGGTGAAATACACAGAGATTTAACATCTAGGCTTTGATGCACCTTCAACCTATTTTTTGGACAAGACAATTACCATACGTAATTTAAATATTCCTATCACCCTTTTTGACATCTAGACCGAGTATATAAAAGTTGAAGGTGGGAAAGGAACCTAGGACCCATTAATTATTATCAATACATTGCTGCCATTAGACTAATTTGCCAATATATTTAATCGAATTAAGTAGGAGCTGTGTATACTAGTACTTTTCATATTAAGTGCTGTTGTAAGAGTCCATAGTTATTACTGAGTAACTAAATAATTTTGCTCTGTCGATTAAGGAAATAGTATTAAAATTTCATTAAGACCTTATTTTACTTTTATACTTTTTTATTTCAGACAATCTAAAAAGAGAAAACGAAGTAGAGTCAAAGTACAGAAACATGATAAAGGCGATAGTGGTGCGGACAGTGGTAGTGAAGTTGAAGAAAAGTATGAAGAAGAGATAGCTGAGAGGCCTTCTAAAAAACTTCGCCCACTCTTACCAATTAAAACTAAAGATGGTTTATTAGAAAGAGCTGAAGAAGTGAATGGTGACTATAGAAGATAAACACATTATTTGAAATTATTCAGTATGCATAGTTTCTGTAATCAGGACAGTTTAAAGCAGACGTGATCTTCACACAAAACACTAAAAACTTCTCACATATAAAAAGTTCACTGGTATAGAATATAAAATAAATCTTTTTATTTTCAGAATCTGAAGTGGAACAGCAATCAGACAGTGAAGAACTGGAATTAGAAGAATCCGATAATGAGGCTGAGGCAGAATCTGATTCAGGGTTGGACCCTGGAGAAGAGGAGGGTAGAGTGATAACAGCAGTGGAATTACTAGCAGCCCGTAGGGATAAATTGCAACACGAAAAGTTGCGCATTGGAGCACTCTGCTCATCATTGCTTGAGAGTCCTGAGAAAAAGGTATGAAAAACGATTATTTATTTCATAAAAAAATATGCATTAAAACTAACAAATACAATCATGGCGCCGGCGCGGCGCAGTCCTTTCTATATTACTTTTGAATTTCTCAATAGCTTTCTTCTTTAAGGTTATTGAATACAATTTATAGTCTACATACCTATTTATACTTTACTATTTTCCTTTAATTCATTTCATTTTTAACTCAGTTAAAAAACCTGTATCCTGTCTTGTACCTAATGGAAGATAAACTGAAGGATGGTACCTTGAATTTACTGTCGGTAAGGAAATTAGCTACAGTATCTGCTGCTGAAGTATTTCGAGACATTCTACCAGAATACAGAATCAGGCATCAAGACTATTCAGATATTAAGTGTAAGGCGATTTTCAATCATCGGTGTGACATCTGAGGATGTAATAATATAATGTAATTATGTAACAATTTTCAGTAAAGAAGGACACACTGGCTCTATACAAATATGAAAAAGAACTTCTGGAATTCTACAAACGGTATCTTGTGCGAGTGGAAAAAGCAGCCAATTTACTTAGAACTAGAAGAGGCGACAATCGGTACACTTAATATAATTATTTAATTCATTCCAGAGTCTTGTTTATAAAATTAATGAGGCGATTTATATTTATGTATATATATATATATCTGCTTTTCTTTGTTTCTCATGTTTATAGCGTTTAGTACATACTAGAAAGTGTAGGTGTAGGTCATTAAATTGTTGTAATCTTTCAGCAAGCTAGACGCGTCGACCACAAGCCTTGCAGTTTTATCACTTCGCTCGATGTGTAATCTTTTGGAAGCAAAACCTAATTTCAACTATTCCACAAACATCGCACAGAGTGTCGTACCCTTCCTTGACTCCCGAGAGCCGATCGCTAGGAGCATTGTGACCGAATGCTGTTGTAATGTCTTCAAGGAGGATAAAAAAGGAGAAATTACTTTAGACGTAAGTAACATTGACTATTGGGATTTTTTAAAACCACTGCAGATTTTTAAGCAGCTGAACAGGGAAATCCTATTTCTCTAGGTGGGGCACGGGAAGACACATTTATTCAGACTAATGCCGTGCAGAAAGAAAATCCGTGAATTTATAATTTGGTGGACTTAAATATGTTTGTTACAGACTGTTCTGTTTATTACAGATAGTTCGTCTGATAAATCAACTAGTGAAACGCCGAGGTGAAAGGTTACACCCTTCCGCACTGGACTGTCTTCTCTCTCTGAAAATAGCTGACGTTCAACTCGACGCCGAAACAGATATAAAGCTGAAGAAGAAACAAGATGAGAAGCACAAGAAGCGGATAGTCAACCTATCAAAAAAGGAGAAAAAGGTCATTATATAATTTTTGTTTGTTTTTAGATCCATCAAGTTATTTCCTACCGTTCTCATACGATTGAAAACCAAATAATTCTGCAGCGAGCAAAGAAACTAAAAGAAGTCGAGCACGAGCTCCTCGAGACGGAAGCAAAGGAGAACGAAGCCGCGAGGCAGAAGCAACTGACCGAGGTGACGCGCCTCGCCTTCCACATTTACTTTCGCTTGCTCAAGACCTCACCGCGCTCGCAACTATTGGCTGCTGTGCTACAAGGACTGGCCAAGTGAGTTTACTCCCACATGCTTGCGACTTGCTGCTTTCATTTATACGAGTGAAGTTTGGTATGACAATTGTAAAGCCACTATACAAAACAGGAATTCAAGGTTATTATTATTGTTTCAAAAATCTACATATTAAAATTTCATCAGGTTCACGCACGTGATAAACCTGGAGTACTATAGCGACCTGGTGGCCATCCTGACCGCCCTCGTGCGCGACGAGCTCGTCGACACGCGGTCCCGCCTCCTCTGCGTGCGGACCGTACTAGCGATGCTGTCGGGCGCAGGCGACGCGCTCAACATCGACCCGCACCACTTCCACGAGCATCTGTACGCGAACGCGATTAATGTTCACGCCGGTCAGTACAACCACTGCGCGAACGAATCATTTACTTGTTTTATATAAATCAAATGTTTTCGTGTTTGCCGGTAGGCTGTTTATTGGAGTCCAGAGTTTTTCAATAAACAGCATACCCTGGCAAACGCGAAGACAACGTTAGACAGTTCTGCAAGGTGCCGGTCGATTTCGCCAAATACCAACTTCAACGGAACAGATGACGCTAGCGTAGCAGTATTTAATTTGACGCCAGAGACTTAGTTTCCCCGTGACCACGGCTGTTGCGAAGCATCCGAAATGTCAGGTCATATAAAAATAAAAATGTAACATGTTTTATACTGTCAGAACAGAATATTAATGAATGTCAAACACCGACTTACTAGTTAGTTATTTAAATTACATAAAAACGGATTTTATTTCATATCTACAGCATCGAACGAGACCGAGAACCGCCTCGTAATAGAAGCTATTGCAGCGGTTTGCGGGCGAATCAGGCGCGTCTCTAGTAGCGTGTTGCTCGCATTCAGCAAACGCCTGGGTACGATCGCCGTGCAGCAGCAGCATCACGCGGCATTGGCTGCACTAGCTTTGCTGCATCAACTGACACAGGTGAGCCACCATACGTACTTAATTTGTTTACTTTTTGTAGTGGTTAATAACTTTTAAAATAAAAAGGAAAATCACTTTCTGTTTAAAAGCAAAACAAAGGCGTGTCAGCATTATTTGACACGGAGGAAACGGTCGGTTCGGGCAAATTCGACCCGTTTGCGAGTTCGCCCGAACATTGCGGCGCGCACGCAGCTGTGTTGTTCGAGTTGACAGCACTCTCGCGCCACTACCATCCTACAACTAGCCGGGCAGCTACAGCTTTGCTGACTGGCGGAGGCTTGCCCAGTGAACTACATAAAATGTAAGTTATACAATTTAATATTTAAAATGTATACTTTACATCGCCAGTCAGCTTATACCAGCAGTAAGCATTCCGGTATACTAATGTTCCACTATTGGGCGCAGAGAAGAGGCCTTTTAGGGCTTAAATGCACCATCCACCGCTCGAGTGTCTGGTGTGATCGCCGAAGAGATACCTACTTCGGTACTCCAGGGTGTTCCTAAATGTCGAGTAAATTTTGACTGACCTATGGTTCTATCCGCAGACCTGTGATGTTCTGCAGTCGAGGTCCACACTCTATTCTTGTGTATCGAGACATTTCTCTTGCAGGAACCCATTACAAATATTCGACGCGTATAACGGATCCCAGATGGCGTTCAAGCCTGCGATTCCACCTCCCGCCTCCAACGTCGTGCGCAAATCCGCGTCGACCCGATCGCACGTATGGACTCAACAGCAGTTTAAGGCGCACTGTGAAGAGATAGAAGACAGCGTGGAATTGACCATACAAACGATTACTTGATAGTTTATTCAATTATATTAAGAATAAATGTACTTTTGTTAATCCTTTGTCCAGTGGTTTCAATTTTATATTTTATAGAACAACAAATTTTATATTTTATAGAAAAATTTGTTTGTTTGAACGCGTTTATCTCAGGAACTACTGGTTTGAATTCAAAAAATCTTTTTGTGTTTGCTAGAGCATTTATTGAGGAAGGCGATTAAAAAACATAGCGCTGCGACTAATAGGAGAAAGAAGGAAAACTGAGAAAATTATTCATCCTTGTGGGTTTCCATTGCGTACGCTGCGATAACGATTCAAGAAACCCAAAAATCATCTATAAAATAATTAATTATTCCTCTTTAAATGACCTTAAAAAAATCCGCGACAGTATATGTTTATCTTTTAAGATTAACTTGCAAAAACGACGGGGCGCGGGCGACGTCGTGGGTAACAGCTCAAATTTATGGAGTTGAACAGGGGGTTTGCAAAAACAAAAATTGATATCCAAAATAATTATTCTACGCGTACGAAGGCGCGTGACTCAGCTAGTGTAATATAAAATAAACATGACACACATATATATCTACATAGATAGGCTACATACTTCCATACACTACACTACTAAACAAGGAATCGATTTTAACCATCCATGTAAATGTTGATAATTTCTGCCTCTCTTGGAAGCAAGTAGTTACAGATGGAAAAGCAGTGAAGTGAAAATATCCGTAAGCTTTGTAGGGCGGGGACAAATGTCCCCGCCCTACAAAGCTTACGGATTAAATAATAATCCATCATGTTTCTCATAAATATAATCTTTAATATTATTAAGGTTAAATTTTGTTAGTATTTTTGGACGTTTGTTGCGCATTTAACTGAAACTGTAATCAATATTTTAAAAACATGCAATAAAATATATATGGCTATAATTTATAAAGGTATTCATGAACTGCGTAAACAGGTCAAACACAAGTAACAAATATAGCTCTAAAGTTCATATAACTAAGGCTTCTTTGATGTGTGAAATAAGTATATTTATCAACTATTTAATGGATGCAAAATATAAATATCAGTGCTGCAAACGCTCCCTGATCGCTTGAACGGACTCTTTTAACAGTCGTCGACGTTTCTCGCGAGCTCGCAGCAGAGCTGCTGCGGACTGCGCTCTCGCGTCCTCCACCAGGGCTTTCATATGGCTAACTCGCTCTCGCTGTCTGTAAACAAAAAAAGACATTTCAATTAAAAACGTATGCCTCACCATTTACAATAACTACTGTTTCGTATAGCGCCATCTATGTGTCAATTAAAAACTATTATTTCCTAGCCCCATCGCCCCAGGAAATTACTAACGCAATTTGCAAGGCTCGTACGTTGCAGTTTTGTACCACATTAAATAAGTTTCGTACACGCAAAACAAATTTACAAATATTCAGTCGTGTATCCACAGTTCTGACTAAAAAAACCTCACTTGACTTCTCGTTCGCGCACCAATCTTAGTTGTTCTTCCACCTCATTGTATTGATGATGTCCAGCGCGAAGGTCGTCAGCTCGCTGCTGTAATGAGAGTTCTTCTCGATTCCAAGAAGCCGATTCCGCCGTTTCAGCGGCCATATCCAATTCCAGGGCTTGCTGCTCGCGCTCGATCGCCGCTTTTATTTCTGCTATTTTCGACCGAGTTTCTTCCTGAAATAATATTTGAAGATATTCATAGTAATGAAACAATAAGTTATATTATGTGACAGTAATCGTGTACCTCATACAGTAACGGGTTAACAATGGGACAAAATCGACTTCGAATCGAAATTATTATGACCAATCTAATTCTGTAACTACACAGGTAAAAGAGATTGTTGTCCAATATTTTATTAATATCATATAAGTCAATCCGTGAGTATTAGCAAATCTTGGATTTAATTTTTGAAACCTCCGTTGTTTTTAATCTATTGCACTAAGGTATTATAATAGTTAAAGCTGAACTAACAGCAAGTTGCGCATTCCTCCGATGCATCTGAGTCTTGGAGCGAGCTCGCTCCTGCTTCTTAGCTGCGAGGGCCTCTTGTTCCCGCTGCAGTTGTTCCATCGCCCTGCTCATGTGCTGCACGCATTCTGGACTCATCAACTCACTGAAATATATATATAAACTTACTCCTTAAAAACGATGCAGAAATAGAGCTACTCACAAGATTCTACTATAAGATTCAAAATAAGCATTTCAAACAATAAAAACAAAACAAAATATTCGAATAAGGAAGACAAAGATATATAGATTCTATCATTTTCGATCGAAATTTTCGTAATCAACTTGCTACAAGCTGAAACCGTTCAGGGTATAAGGAAGGTCGGACCGCAAGGAAACATAGATCAATGACCGACGAGTTGTATGTACAAATACCCAAGATGCCTATGAAGCAACCTAAGTTTTGAGGCAGATAATCTTATAAAAGATTAAGGTTTTCTCTTCAGTTTCAGAGGAACTCACGTCTCGTCCACAGCGAGTGCGGCCAGATGCGGAGCGGACGGCGCGAGCTGCACCAAAGCCTGCTTGTACTGGACGCAGCTGTCCAGCGCACGCTTCTGCCACAGCGCTAACTCGTTCTCCTTGCTCACTAGTTTCTGTAACAGAACAATAGATCGAGTCTTCTTGAATATATTTAACAAACAAACAGCGAATAAAGTGTGGAATTGAATCGCTAAGCTTTTGAGCCCAGAACCGATATCGTATAGTATTTATATCATCATTCAATTATACATATAATTCTATCAAAGACAGTGATCGGGGTTCACTTGATGGTAGGTGAAGCACCCCATATAACTTCTTTTTAGGCTTTGGATATTCGGATATCCAGATTTCCAGAAGATGTGTCTTGACATTACAAAAACGAGCTGGTCAACAAGGTTACGACGAATACACCCCTAAAAGCACTACAAATCAGTGATATGATCTCACCCTCGACACTTCTTTTGCCAAAGCCTGCTTAGAATCGGTGACCCGTCTGTCAAAGTCCAATTTGTCGAGCAGTTTGTTCCGCTCTTGCACCGTCATCGTTTGCGACGCCAACTCCTTCTGAAGCTGTTCCAATTGGACCCTGTCCCCAATCACAAGCAATTAAAACGTCATTAAAAAGAGCTAAGAGCTGGGAAAGCTATTTTAAGTCACGTAAGTTTTACAAACAAGACTAAAGCCTGAACAATTGAAATTAAACATGTTGGTTAATTTATTTTTAACTAACTGTACCCTGCGTTGCTTCGCTGTGGTAAGTTGTGATTGAATGGTTGACGGATGCAAAACAAAGAATAAATTTCATATTCGTTTAAATTGTGCAAACTGTACTTAGTTTAACTAATATATCGCGTTTATACCGTTAAAGTGTTTTATTTAAATGTGTACTACTCGCGTAAACTATAGACAGTATTTAACTTGTGTATATACAATATCATTGCTTTGCCGCCTTGTAACTACGCTACAAACAGTCAAAAATATACGTTAATTAAGTGGAAGCGAGGAAACCACTCGCTGTCAACCGCAATAAAAATGGCGCCGTCACAAGTACACAGCTGATCGTAAAAAAAACTACTATAACGCAATCTCGTATAAGAGACTAATACCAAAGATAGATAAAATAGTTCTTGATGCAGATCATATAATATATAAGATTAATATATCAAAATTGCAAAAGGGAATAGAGTGTTTAGGCATTTGTATCTTTTTGATTTCTGTTGAATGATATTTATCAACCGCCCAAGATCGACCTGGGTTGATGGCCTTCTAATACTCACCACAATAAAACAAATCGCTAGAAGCTTAGCAGCTTTAACTAGGCAATATGACCCCGTCTCGTGTTAAAATTGATTAACATTTTGAATATCCACTCACTTGCTCCGTTCGACCTCCGCGGCCAATTGCTGCCGTGTGCTCGCGAGGGCCACGCTCCGAGCTCTCTCGGCTACCGCGTTGCTGTTCAGCTCACTCCTCTGGTTCTTCACTTGATGCAGTTCTTCTACCAAATGCTCGTGACGGGATACGATTACAGCTTCCTTTTCGCGTTCCTTGGCGTCCAGCTCTTCCGTCCTTTCCAAATCGATTTCGCATTCTGAAGTACAAATATATGTAGATTATGCTGAGAAACTCGGATCTCGGAATGCTATCAATCAATGGACTATCAATTATGAGCAATGAGATCACACGATAACTCTGTAATATCAGCTTAAAATCTGCAAAGCATTGGATTTTGAACTTAGTATTAAAGTTGTAATAACATTGCGCGGGAATTGTATGTGCAAGTGTATTGAACAAATAGACAGGGTCAAAGCTGGGTTAGATTCCCCCCGTTTGCTATTTACATTTCTTATGGTAAAATAAAATACCCACTCCTGACTTCTTTCTGCAATTCTGCAACCTTCAGCTCATTGTAACCGACTCGTGTTTTAAAATCTTGGAGGTATTCTTCGTTGAGGTCGTCGAAACCATTGTTTGTTTGATAGTTGAATCTGCAAAGTATTAAAAAACGTAGTACAATATTAAATATACTCATCATCATAAATCTTGCACAATGATGTTAATTCAATTGAGAATTACAATTAGCTACCCAATTTCTATCGATTTAATCTTTTCTTTTTGCATAATAAAAAGTAGGCTCCTAAATCCCACCTGTACCAGCATTTTCGCAGATAAGCACGACGAAGGCGCGACTTATCATCCTTAGACTTGTAAAGCCATTCGTCAGTTACCGGTCTCCTCTGAAAATATATAATTATATTTAATGGAAGAGATTCCTAACCACAAACGGGCCCTTTGAGCTTTACTGCGTCGTGTAGATGATGTGATTATTTTATTAAATTTTAAGTTCTAATCTTCGAAAATTTCTAGTATCAGTCTATATTACGGTAGTATGTGCCCTTTGTTTTAGAAAGCGATAGTCGTTAAAGATCGTTAACCTTCACTGATGTTGCGAGGTGGGTCACTGTGTGACCGGGACTCGGGTGCGGGACATTAGTAGGTTGAAACGATTTGCGAGTACAATTGATATAATGGATCACGCTTACAATGTCCGATAACAAGTCCGCCAGGTATGAGATAAGAGCGAGCGCCTGTGGAAATGAATGCAGAGTGTTCACTGTGCGAAGCCACGATTTAGGCATCGCACCCGGGTACAGAAGTCGTTTGGTCAGATGCGGAAGCTGAAACAGGTCATTCGTTTGGCATTAAGTCCAGCTTATTAGTTAAGTGGATGTTTAGATTTTAGGGCCCATTTAACTATTAATGTAATATGTATAAATAAAACACTTAACGGTTTAAAACGCGAAATATATTAGTTAAACTTGTTTGGCCGTGGTCACACTGTTTTGTAACATGTTGCTACAGAATTCAAACCCACGGTTTTGATCAGTTGTTCTATGGAGGTAGGTATTTTTTTTTTACAAATGGTCTTTATAGATTTGCTACTGTTTCAACAGTCCTCTGTAGTGTTGTAGGTAACTAGACAGTGAGAACAAGCAATTTTTTTACATTATAACCTGTACGTGATCTAAGGGTAAGATGATTTTTAACTGTTTGAATTAGATTCTCACCCACACACATTATTTTCAATTCATTAAATATACAGAGATAGTATCTTTAGGAATTAGTGAAAATAAAAAATTTAAAATGTATTAAAAATTTAGCTTAACTTTTAAAATTATTGACGAGATATTACCTTTACAACATAATTGTCGTTGTTGAGTTTTGCATCCTTACTAATGTAGCTCAACAGTATGTTGACAATTTCAACAAATCGAGCAATGGTGAGTGGCCGGCTTAGTCCGCCTACCTCCAGCGAAGCCAGCACCACATTCATACGCGCGCACTCCGACCTTTGCCAATCTATGCTTTGTATCGGTCTGGATAACATAATAAAATGAAAATTAAGTAAATTTCAACGCCAACATTATATTCTTTTACCCTAAATGTCAGTGAACTGTCCAAAATAGACTTGCCATGCGTATATTTTATTATTTTATATTTTTCAATGACTTGAGGTATACATAAAATCCAAACCTCTTGTCTTTGTTGATTACAAATGCCAGAGCCCTATCGAGCGAAATCTGCCAATTGAACTTGTCCCGATCTTGCGATGGAGTTCTCTGGAAACAGAACAATAGAAGACCACTCAGATATCAATAAGTATGAAAGTATAATTTCTTAATTATTATTATTAAGTTTGAATTTCAGGAACTTTATACTTAACTAGCGGCTTTATACTTAACCCTGTCCTGGCTTCTCACGGGTAGACATAAATAAGTACAAATATTTAAATTATAAGCATGCTAATTAAAACGACCATGAATCATATAATTAGAAAAAAAAATGTATTGCGCGTCCTCTCTATTAATGACCGCAGTCTATCTCGCTGGTTCAGGGGCCGCTGCGAGCGCTCAGTGTTAGTGTACTGTGCACGCGTTCGCGAATTCCTAGCTCTATTTCCTTTCAAGTCGCTGCGACGATCTTGCATTTTGTTCTGCAAAACGAACCTGATAGATTCTCTGGCTCGTGATTGGTACGCGTACACTCTAATACTTTCCAGACGATCATTATCATTTTCAGAAGAAGACTCTCCAATACGACGAACTTTTGCTAATCTCGCTTGGGAACTATTCTTAGATATTTGTTTTAAATCGGAGAAATTAAGAATAAACTAATAATAATACAAAAGAAAATATTCAAGTTCAAAGGGACAAGTTCTAAAAAGAAGTTTAACAAATATTATTTAAAGTGTGATTCCTCTGAAAAGAACTTTATAAGTAAAGCATAAAAAAAAACTGGATATATTCAATGTCGCTCGTGTCCACTGTGTATTGAGACAGTCTTGAATATTAAATTATTTATTTGGATAAAAATTTATAAATGGTACAGATAACACGGTCTGATTTTCATCTGCAATTCTATCAATTTGTTAAATGTAAAAAAGTAGTTACAGTTACGTAACTATAATAGTTAGACATATTATACTCTCGGGATGTTTTTTCTAGATATTGGTGTATTCTATAATATTTAAAAAAAGTAAAACAACAACATAAGTACCACAGGTGTTGCTGTAGTGCTGTACTGATTGCTGCGACGAGGTGTTGCTACATCATGTCTCACTTCTCCACCACCAGTTTGAGAACGAGATCTCTGTAATATTAATGGTAACCAGTTATTCTTAGTAAAATAATTTCAACATAGAAAGATAAAATTGGTGTTATTTATAACCTTCTTTTACAAACTAATTTATCTAACCAACTAACAGATTTTAGTTATTTGTCAAATTACTGAAATATTTTTTTTTTCAACAAGCAATGGTTATGTGGATACAAAAAATTAATAAACATACTCTGTTGAAAGGTATTTTAGTAGCAGATGGCTCCCTACTGAGTCTACCCCCAATAGTAGCTCTTGGTGGTTCGGCACTGCTAGAACGGAATCCAGTTGTAGAAGGTCTCTTTGTGTCCATAGACTGACGATCTATAGACCCAGGAGGGCGGGGCTTCGGTAATAAAGAAGGCTTTCCTTCCAACCTAAACAACAAATAAATTATTTACTTACAACAATAACAAATTGTCAGCATTCCAATCAAATATGTAAATGTGTATGGATGTAAAGTAAAGTTGAGCCATAATAAACCCACATATTAGAACAACTATACCAACCTTGATTTTCTAACTGCTGAAACTGAAGATAAAGATGTGTATCTATTAGACATTCTTAATCACTTTACAGACACCGTATCGAAGGAATTTTTTAATTATAATGCTAGCTTCACTGAATTCAATAGTAAGTTAGAATTGTCTCCTTAAAAATCACAAATATTCATCTGATTTTTACTTCAAAGCCTAAATATTTAGATCTTAAGTCAACACCGAGCGTCAAAAAACGGTTTAATTCGAACTTCATACTTTTTAAATCTATTTGCGTAGCTAGGGTACAAGTCCAATCGAATTTGTTTTTTCTTCTGTAACGAGCGAACGTTAAGGAAAGGAAAGTTGACATTGACATCGATGACGCATTTTATGTCATCGGATTGTTTTAGCTTTAGGTTAATGTTTAATGTAATTATGCAGTTAAAAATAACAAGCAAAAGTCATAAACAAATTCGATATTTGTGCATGATGCATTTTTCAACCGATACGTTACTTTTTTCAGTCGTGTTACTAAAGAAGTGATTTTAATACTTTGAGTTCATTCATAACTAAAATTTGAATTGAAATAATGATGAAATACTCAACATCACCCACCCCATCAAACTATGCTAGAAGTGCATCCCCGCTACCTGCTCCAGCCAACTATCAGCCACTAACATCAAGTGCAGCAAGAAAACGATACATTTATTTAAGGAGACTTCTTAAATTCAATCAAATGGACTTTGACTTTGCCGCCTGGCAAATGATTTATTTATTTGTATCACCACAGAAAGTTTTTAGGAATTTTAACTATAGAAAACGTAGGACATCTTTAATCGTTATCACAAAGTATAGCACATAATTGTAAACAAAAATGTACTCATCTGTACAATTACATTGATTATATTTGATACACCTGATTCAAGTGTATCAATTATAATCAATATAATTACATCAAGAGTCAAGACTTAGAAACATCAAAGTTTACAATATGAGACCCTAGTCAAGATTATAGTAATTCTGCTTGTTTTGTGGTTTTAAATTGATAGTCCATCACATGTTTGAAGAATAAAACATTTATTTATTTTTTCAGACACCAAATCCCAGTTTGCTCGTGATGACCCAGCATTTCTAGTTTTACTTAGTGTATGGCTATTCTGTAAGTAATTAGTATTTAAATAATATATAATTATTGTAATATATAAAACCTACATTTCTTTTATTGTGATTTATTACCTTTTATTATTTATTTCCAGTGTCATCCATATGTTTTGCATTGGCAATAGGACTAACTACCGGGCAAACAGTCTTGTTTGTACTGTATGTTGTTTTTGTTGACTTCATAGGGGCTGGAATAGTCATGTCAACAGTTTTTTGGTAATATTATCTACTGCGTATATAGACCTTATTTAAATATGTTCTGCATTTTTACATGTAACAAGTTGACTTCATTATATTTTAGGTATATAAGCAATAAATACATGAGGATAGATGAGTCATCACCAGATGTAGAATGGGGCTATGCATTTGATGTACATATTAATGCTTTCTTTCCTCCATTATCTTTGCTACACTGCTTCCAAATATTGTTGTTTAATAGTAAGTACTTAATATAGACTCTCTATTAGCTAAATTGTTAAACACATTGTCTTAAGCATTACATGTCCATGTTACACAAGAAGCACCTGAAATGTCTGTACATATTCAAAATTCATTATTGTTTCAATATAAGTACATACATTTATAGTTTAATTTCAGAAGATTTTTTGCAAATATTACAATAAACCTTTTAAAATATATTTTTTTATAGTTAATGTACGACCATGTGACACCTCTTATACAAGTTATATGTTTAGTGTAAAAGAAGACTATAGGTAGCTCAGAGGGAAAGAGTAATATTTGAATCCAGATATATTTTATATATATATACAAAATATGTCTCGATTTATACAAAATTATCGTACAAACAGTGTAATATTATTATTGGTGGTTAAAATGTTACTAATATTAAATTACAGGTCTATTGATAAGCAATGGATTTTTATCGTGCCTAGTATCTAATACCTTTTGGCTGGCTTCCTCCATATATTATCTCTATATCACTTTCCTTGGATATAGCAGTAAGTTGACCTTTTGTATATTCAAACAGTGGTACATTTAATATCAACTTCAAATGATTCCTAGTTGTTAGCCAAATTTAGACAATAAAAGCTAGAATAATTTATTTTTTCTTTCTTATGTTTTTTATATCTTTTTAATTTAAAATAACACTTTTATTATGTTTGTAGCAATTAATTTAAGGATTAAGTTTATTAGTGATTAATTTGTGTGTATATTCATGTTATGAAATTTGTCAATCGTTCGTACAAATAAATCCTTAAATATCTAGTATCTCAGAATTATTACCTTCTTCCAGATCTACCAATGATGCAAAACACTAGGATATTTCTACTACCTCTACCGATGTTATGTCTAGTGTACTTTGGAACCCTTCTTCTTGGATGGAACCTCAGCCACATGCTAATGGACTTCTACCAATACAGAGTATTTTAAAATTAAAACTAAAAATAGGAGGATGAAAAAATGCAAATTGTAACTTTGTATATAAAAAGTGGGCTTTTAGAAACTTGCCTAATACTTTTATTACTACAGATATCCAGCCAATAATAAATATCAATATTTAACGCAAAACTTACATAGACTAGTATTTTTTATGTATGTTGTTGTAAAGGGAATTGTGTTATATAGTTAAGATAAGATAATAATATTATTTTACACATAATTGTAATAAATTATTTGGTACTGTAATTAATATTATAATACATAAAGTTGTTATTTGTATTAGACTTTTCATTAAAAATCATGTTAATGGCAACTTTTTTATTAAGCAAAAGTATAAATATTTCACGTAAATTCAATCATCATCATCTAATATTATTATTTCATCGACGATAGGCTTAGGTTTAGGGTCCGAAAACGTCAAGGACTTCTTGGAATCCGCCTTCTTTAAAGTGGCCGCTTTAGAAGTCTTAGTAATTGTGAGCGATGATGGTAATCGATTAATCGAAGCAGTTATATCCGAAGTATTGGGTTTGGACACTGGAATATTTTTCTGTCTCTCGGCTAATTTCTCCTGTAGAGTCTTACCGGGACTAACCTGTTGAAGTAACTGCGTCTTCGTATGAATAGGTGCACTAACGGCGGAAGCGGTCGTCAGATGCGCTTGGGGTGCTGCGTTATGTGAACCGGAATGAGACGTCACAAACGTGGGGAGATTGGCGGTCATAGAGGCTGGCAACGTCGATAGCACACTTCCCATGCTAGATGTTAACGACGTCGACGCAGATTTCTGCAGACTGGATATAACGGGCGTCGGAGTCGCTTTGGATGTCGGTACCGTTCCGGTAAACGATTTCTGTTTTGCTTGAGATGTTAAGGTTGAAGAAGAACGACTGGAGCCCGGCTTCGGTCCACGCTTTTGCTTTTTAGTAGGCGGAGGATTTAATGATGACAGGCCTTGCGCAAGGAATTGTTTGTAAAACTCTGCTTGAAAAGTATTCTGCGCCGAAAACTGAAGAGGATTAGGCAGCGAGGAATAATTGGCGAGGGCACTTATGTTACTGAGGTAAGACAAAGCCGCCGCTCTTTGCTGACTGACCATAAATTCATTTAGCATAGGCATAGCATCATTCATCAAAGGTAAATAGTTTTGAAATGCCGAGGTGATCTCGTGAGATGAAATCTTCGGTATTACAGAAGTAGACGCTGTGGACTGCTGCGGCTTTTGGTCTAATTTTCCAGCTTGAGAAACAGGTGCCGTCGTAGTATTAGGATGTTTGGGAGTTTCTATCGATTTGGTAGCTTGTTTCTTTTGCATACTTTGAGTTTTGTCTAAATTAGCCTGAGCGACTGCTTGCTGCTTTAAAGACTGGCAGTATTTCATGCTTAAGTCCACCAGATTCATGCCTTCGGTTATTGGGGTGGTCGTTATTAACTTGTAAGCTTCGATGAGTAAGTTGACAAATTGCTTCGACTGCGGTTGCTTCTGCACTTTCTGATATGAACGATATATGTCCAGCATCAAACTTTTCAGCGCTTGGCGTTCGACGTCGTTGCTTTTTATATCGGGCTGCTGACTGAATTTAACTAACTGCCCTTTGAGAGCTTGAACGCATAGAGAAAACGCTTGCTGCGCGAGATCTTCTCTGTCGGCATCTCGCAAATATGTTTTGTCGGGATCTGGAATTCTTTGTAAATGTACACTTAAATCCAATAAAGTTTTATGATCGTCGATTTCTTTCAAAATCTCCATTGTCAGAAGGACAGACCGGTTCATGTGGAATGCAAAACTACCACCTCGGTCGACGTCGTTCAGGGGAATTTTCCATATATTGTTAAAGAAATTATTTGTTTTTTTCTCACTGAATAGGCCGCTCAATTTTTGCCCAGATCGTGCTGTAAAAGAAGACAGCATTAAATCGCGACACCTTTCGATGTCCTTACCCTTTTTATAATAAAAATGGTAATGAGCTAGCCTGTAAATTGCTTTATAGTGTGGCGGGAAACGGCTCGCACAGTCTTCAAGAGCATCGAGACAGCCCGATACGATTTTCATTATGTCGTCGTCCGATAATGGTTTGGTGCCGAGTGAAGACTTACTAGACGAGTCGCTTTCTCTCGCCGAGTCGGTGCTATCTGAAGAAGATTCAGAGCTACTAGAATCGGAAGATGAGGATGAAGAACTTGAACTATTATCATTTTTTTCTTGATCGCTTTGTTTTTTCTCAGCATGCTTTATGTCGTTTTCTGTAACAGCTTTTTCTTGACTTTCTAATCTTGAGGCGACGTCATTAGCGCAATCGGGTACCTTATTATTTAGGTCATTCTCTTTCTTATCAGAACAGCTAAAACTTGCTTCCGCAACATCTTTAATACGTTCAGTGTCGTAAGAGGCCGAGCGCCTCACTTTTGCTGCAGCAGATTCCAGTTTAAGTTTTTTAGCTTCTTGGTTATCTTCCTCGCCCGCGTCACTAACTGATCTTTTTAGAATATTTGCAGCCTGAATAGATGGCTCTTCAGGCCTGATTTCTGTATCTTTTTTCGGTTTAGAGGTAAAAGGACCCCGCTGCCATTCCTCTATACAATTTAAAAACACTTTACCCACTGATGCCGATATTGGCTTGTTTTCATGTTGCTCAATATATTTGAGAATGGACGCGTGAATTCTGTAATGTAACTCTAAGACTTCTATAGACAGATGTGTAGGTGAACTGTAATTTATTTTTAAAGGATAATTAGCATCAGCCTCGAGTAAACTTTTGAAGCCTTTCATATAATAATTTAAATAGATTGAAGGGGGTTTATTGCGCTTCTCTGCAACTTTTCCTAACATGTAAAAGAGCAACCAAGAATCTTCGTTCTTCTCGATTTCCACTCTATCAAAGTGATCTACAACAGTAGCAAAGCACTTTTGAGTTGTGTCTAGTAAACTTTCTTTCTGCTTCTCAAGAGCTTCAAAGTCTTCCATACTTAACGATTCACTCGCTTGTTTCAGCAATCTTGAGACAAATGAATGAACTGAGTACACAAAATTTCCATATTCTATCCAAAGATTACAATGATCCGGATCGATTTCAACAGCTCTTTTGAAACAACGTATTGTACTTTTGGCCGGAGTAAGAAACTCTCTCTCATTATTAAGATTCTTACAAGAATTCAAGATTCTTTCTAGATTAACAGCTTTTCCAAGTGACATTTCAGCCCATGATTCTAATCTGTCTTTATTTATTATTACATCTAACATATTATACTTCACAGCTAATTTTGTCTCTTCTTTCTTAAAATAATAATCCCCAAGTAAGAAGTATATATCTTTTATTTTATATGGCAATAGTTGAGGAAATAAAGGTAATTTAGAGTCGATACCTTTTATATACTTCTCTAATTCTGGAATATATTTTTGTGGGTCGCACTCTGATGGTAATAAAGCAAGAATACGGTGAAACAATATTTCTGTATCAGCAGTAATACCAGTTAGCTTGCCTTCTAAAGCTGGAAGAACTGGTGGTCGGAATATTTCATACAACTGCTGGGCTCTCGGCCAGTCTAGATTATGAGCTGTAACATTACTGTGCTCTGCTACGTATTTTACTTTATTTTTTCGATTTTGTGGGTGTCCATACAGGCAAAAAACACATTGTTCCATATATTGGCAGATGTTTTCCAACGATTTCGATAGAGCCGGAGAACGTAACAGTGGAACAACAGTGTCTAAAATAAAATACAATAACTTTCCATTTGACTTGTTACACCAGCCTCTGCTTCCTAGTTTATCATGACCAATAAATAATACCATAATAGGATTCGGTATCTCTTCATCGAGAGTTTTGTCACTTTCAGCAACCGGCCTTCCTCTGCCTTGATCTTCTTCTCTTTGCAAAATGTAGTGCATTATAATCCACGGCGACACTGTGTCTATCGGCATCTCTGTAGTTTTCGTTTCCATTTGATGTCCGATTATTCTAATGAGGTCCTCAAGCCCTTGACTTAATTCGTTTGAGGAGATGGCGTCTAAGCACGAAAACCCCTCTGTGGCCAGGATATGTTCCATGCAACTTAATATTTTTACAACAGCAAGAGTCCACTTTTCATAATCGCTCGACTCTGATGTAAATCTAAAATAATGTTTTAGAGCTTCATGTAAACAAATAAATGACCATCTAAAGCAATCTCCAACTTTTTCTAAAGCCCAATAAGAATCTAATATGAGTGACATTTGGACTGCAAAGTCTAAAGACATTTCATTTTCTTGTTCTTTAGCTAAGGTCTTACAATGTTCAAAAGAATCTACTATGATAGCCAATACTTCGTCATAAGAGTTACGTTGAAACAAGTCTTTTACTGTGGACAACTTCTTGTTGCGTTCTAAAAACTTAACATATTCTAATATTTCATGTTTATTGATAATTGGCTTGAAAGAAAAATTCACAACATGAAGATTATACACGTCTTTATGTTCCCCCATTGCTTCAAATTCTGCAGCCAATTGATATAAACAATCAAGAGCAAAATCATCTTCTCTATTTATAGAATAAATGTGCATTTTGAGCCATAACTGTCTCAACATGATGTCTAAACACTGTGAACTTTCAAATATTTCTGGTTTAAATGTAAGAATAATTTCAATATTATCTATAGCACAAAGACTGTGACATATTTTTTCATCAGTTTTGGTTATAAGTTTGTAATTAACAGTAAACTCTTCGGCTAAGAGATTGACAGTTGTATAATGTATTAAATCTTCAATATTTTCGTCAATACATGCAGGAACATCAACATGAGTATTGTAACATTTGTTGGCCTCTATATACCACTTAGATAATCCTTCAGGCCACTTTAATTTCCATTTTTTGGAGAGAATGCTTAAATATTCTTTTAACATATCAATCATATCTCTTTTTTGTTCCATATATTTTTTTATAAAGGCCTCTACATCCTTTTGCTCTACTTCTAAGTTAAAGTATTTATCATTATCTCTTTCTTTCTCATCAAATAATTCTTTTAAATCAGGGAAGGATGGTTCTTCTGTAAGTTGATTATCACTTTTCTTTACATTTTCTGGTACTAGGTTTAATGGAACCATTTGCCTTAAAGTGTCATAGATATTATCTTCTTTATTAGAATTTTTTTTTCGACCTGATCTACGTTTAGTGCACCATTCCCACTGCTCAAGAAAACTAAGTGCACTTCCCCTTCTACGCCCCCGAGTTTTTTTATGCTCCTTCATTTCTGGTACATTTTCACCTACTTGTTCCAAATTTATCATTTCAATATCACTTTCAACCTTTTCAGTATCAGTCACTGGTTTTTCCTTATCAGACATATCATTTAATTCAGCCTCAGTTGTGATGACTTCTAAAGGTTTATCATCAACCTGCTCGGGCTTATTTTCAACTTTACTACTGTCACTTTCTTGCTGTTCTTCACACACCTCCATCTTTTTCTGTTGAACTTCTGTGTTAAAGACTAGTTCAATAAATGCTGCATGACTTAGGCCATTCTCTGCTATGTATTTATGCATGTGTACTAATGACTCACCAACCGATTCCCATGTGAATCTATTGATTGGTTTTTGAAGGACTAAATCTGGTATTTTGTGTACTACCTTCTGCGCTCTCTGCTGTTCAATAAAACTTTCATATATGTCATCTGCTTCTTTAATCAGCTTGGCTGATTTATCTTTATCTATTGATTCATCTTCTTTTTCATCCCATTTATATATAGGGTTTAAATATTCCATGTACTCTTTCATATGACGAAACACAGTATAAATATGTTTTCTATACACAATTCCTCGAAGATAACCGGGATCAAGTTGAAGTGCATCATGGATTACAGCTATACATTGTTCCTTCATGTCCATTCCGAGTAACAGTGTAACAATTTTATCAATACAGGGCCAGTGACGAGGATTTATGTCCATTCCGCGTTCAAAGGCATACAATGAAGTCTCGTACCGACGTGCCAGTAAACATACTAAGCCAAAACGAAACCAGAGAGTTAAATCAGTATCATCAAGTTCAGAAGCTGAAGTATAAGCTTCAATAGCTGCATCGAGATCTCCCGACGTACTTAGCATGCATGCCAGGTTTTTGTAGCACAAATATTTTAAATTAAACAGGGGTCCAGTTACTTTCTCTCCCGCTGCCGGTTTTTTTACATCATATAAAAGCTCAGTATCCAGTAAATCTTTAAGTAGTTGAGTTGCATCCTGCAAATTGCCTTTTCTTTGTAAATCTAAAGCTTTGGCATATTGTTGTAGTGCAATTTGTTCTAACGCCTCTCTCGAGACCTCTTCTTCAGAACCGCTATCTTCGTCAGTTTCCTTATTCAATGCTGCTATTTTTATCATCTTGTTTCTTTTTATGAACTAGACAATAACTTAGGCAATCGATGTATATCTTTCAGAATCATTATTATACCGGTATTACTAATTATTCCATCTACTAACCCTAAGAAATCGTACTAAGCAACATTCCCAATAAATAAATAATGTTTATATTATGTTTATCGACGAAATTGTCTTTGGACGCAGGACTTCTTTAAGAGACAGACTTGACAAGCTGCCGTTTATATAGATATCAGTAACTGACTTATTCCCTTTTAAGTCAAATTCAAACGTCATACATCATGTCATTTTCACCTGTAAAATGTAAGTTAGTTATCAAGTTGTAAACTTTGTAGAAACTAGAAACGTGCGCTTTACACAGCCCTGCAGGAGACAGAATGATGTCCCAAAGATATTCATTACGCTGCTCATTCCCATTGATTATTCAAATTGCTGAGGCTCATCGCAAACCGCGATGGCTACCCATCGCAAAGAGCAAAATTTATCGGATTCCTAAAAGACCGGAAATATCGCAAGAAGAGCGATTAGAACTGCGGCGAATAAACAACAATTATAACACAAAAATGCGAGCCATAAGAAGATTCTATGCCGAAGAATGGGTACGTGAAAAGTCCACACTTGAAAGTGCCACCTCCGAGATGTCTCAACGCTTAGAAGCCGACGAATGGCTTCGATGTGAAGAACTTAATGAGATGTGGAACAAAACGATCGCTGCCGAGCGCGAGGAACGACGGGCGCAAGAACTAACGATAATGGAGGAGTACTCTCTTGCCCGAATGGAGGCTAAAGACAAAGATTTGAGGGAACGAATATCAAAAGCTTCAGCAAAAATAAGAAAGGAAAAGGTATATATAACATTTTTCCCAGCAACTACACTTGATAGTATGAAATTCGATTTACTTAATAAGCAACAAAATAATTGTACTAACTACTCTTATATTCTGTTTTTCTAGGAGCTCTGTACAACATTTGTAACACCAGAAAATCTAGAAGAGACAATTGATAGAATTCTATCCAATACAGTTGACTATAATTTTGCTATTGATCTAAAAGGCAATACCTACCAGGGGAGAGACTCTAATATACAAAACGAGGATAAAAAAATTCAAGCATCCAATTGATTTGAAGATTTTATTAGTGTATTATATTGTAGATGGTATTTTCCTTAATTTCTTTAAAACCAACCTAATATAAGATCATTTTAACATACTCTTTAGTTTTCAGCATTTTAGTCTTAACACAAACTAGTGTTATTTTGTATGTTTTTGGCATTGGCTTGGAACAAATAAAATATTTTGATAGGACTTAATTGAAAAGTGTATCCTTAAATAATTGAGCGCCTGGTCTAGTTTGTAATACATATTCCGTGAAGTATATTGTACAGCCATATTTCTAACAAACATATATATTTAACATCCACTGAATTTTGGTTAGATTATGGATGATCTAGAAAAGTCAGGGGCATTTCTCACCCACACATAGAGAAGTAAAACCATATTAAAAAAATTTGGGCACTAATAAATATAAAAGTCTGATTAATTAATTACACATACAGAAAACAGATAGATTTCCATTACTTTCAAAGCTATAATTATTAATAACCTTTTTTATTTCCTAAATGGACATTTCATCAAACATTGTTTCCCAATCAGGTGTAATGTTGAGCTTGTGTTGTAGTTGTCCTAGAGAAGTAACACTGGCCGATCGACTTGCTTCATCGACACCAACAGATACTACTTCTTGATAGAATGATGCCTTTGTACCAGAACTCACCTAAACAATAACATAAAATAAAGTTAAGACTCAACTGACACTGATCAAAATTATAAGTATAAAATCTATAATATTCGGCACAACTATTTGGTCAGCTTATTTTTAGCACCAAAATTTAAACAATTGTGATTGTTTTGGTCATCATCACATATCTTCACGCACTATATGTTTAGACAAAAATTCTTCTTCTTTTGCACCATAAACTTTTTATAATTATATACCTACTGAATTTATCTCCCCTTTTATAAATTTGCGAGTCTCTATAACTCCATATAAAACTAAGTATTCCGTATTCGGCGGAATAGTATGCAGATATTTAGTATTCGTTTTACAGTATAAAAGACATCAAATAACCGAATATTCATTGCAAAAATAAATACAGAATAATCAATATTTGAAATCAATTACCTCAAAAATAGTACTGCCAAGTGCAAGCGTAATGCGGCCTGACCGATGTATTCTTAAGTTTCCAATGCGCCCTTCTTCCAGGTCTGACAGATGACATCTGGTATCTACTGGCTAACAGAATTATAATTTTTATTAGCCTGAGCCATTCCAAAAGATCAATTTAAATATAAAGCTTCTTTCAAAGAAAATTACCGGTTTAGGTTCCTCAGTTGTCTCACTAGAACTAGATGGAGTACTCAATGGTTTCTTATGATCGTCATCCCGGCTGCCTCCACGACCAGGTAAAGTATCTGACAACTAAGATACAGTTTATTAAGAACACTTTCCCAAATCAAAGAAGCAACAATATTTCTAATTTCTAGAATTCAAGTTTGAGACATTAAATTTCTGACATTGGCTTTTTCTCTTGTGTCTGTTTTAATGATTGGTCTTTTTCATACATTAGTACTCTTGAGCCTTCCCGAACAACCCGATTTATTGTGTTTTTGTCTGGAGGCAAGAGATGTCTTGACACAATGCTAGGCTTCATTTTTATTCGCCAAGCCATGTATAAACAAACTGTGCATAATAGACTGAAATTAACATATTTTTATCACCTGTAATAACAATAATGTTGGTTTATCACTCTTCAGCAGGTTTGCAACACTCACATCTTCAAACATGTCTTTGACATCTGGTCTTGGTTTTTCCCCTTGAGCTGTAACTGATGGAGGTATAAATTTAATAAGGAACTTTACTTTAGGTGATAATGACACTAACACAACGCAACAGTACAGTTTTCTTTGCAATTTTAAGCGAAAGTAAACCATTTTATCAGCACAATTCTTTGCTTAAAAATGGACATGAAGCATACAGTGGCAGACATAGTAAAGAAGACTCAATTAGTGTTGGGTTACAATTAGGTGTCTTTACCACTGACATGTTTGCTGTAGCACCATATTCACCTAAATGAAACAATTCAATAGGTTTATATTTGGGCATTTGTTTCATTATGCAACCAGATCTTACACATTTCTCCATCCTCAGAAGGCTCCTGTTTAACAACAACTTCTTCCTTGATCTTCAATGAAGGTTTATTGCTACTTGTCAAGCCTATAAAATAGTTTGATTACTAGAAAATATACATATATTGCAGCTTCATGTCAAATGTGTTTGTATAACTTTATTAAAGATGAGAAATTGTACTGTTAGCAATAGTTTTAACTTTAATCAGTTATTACGATAGTTTAATTAATTCATATAATACCTAATTCATCCATGGGCAACCTGACTGGCGCATCAGCTTCGAGTACTTGTTTGAAATCTTCTGCTTCTTCAACCTCCTTGCCATCTTCACTGAGTATAGCTTTAATTTTTTCTTCTTCAAGCTCTTTATCAATCTATATGTGTAAATATTTTTATTATTATAAAATGAAGATACTGCTTCTATTCCTAACATGTAAAATAATAATAATCTACAGTTGTAAGAGTCTCAAATAGCAATCAAACTTATTTTTATTTTATTTGTTTAATAGTAATATTACCTTAACAACATCTTTGACCCGAATTGTTGGTTTCTGCATCTTTGGTTCGGTATTGACATCTCTGCCATATGAAACTCTACTTGAAATGCGTTCCGCACTACCCATTCCTTGTAGAAAACAATGTATTTAATTTGAATTGTTTTAGAACTATATAAAAGTAAAACAAATTTGTGATTAGATATTAAAAACCTTCTGAGAAGACACCCGATGATTTGATTATATTTTGGCTGTTCCTAGAATTCCTATTTCTATCATTTTTTTGGCTCCGTTTGTTTTTTTCATCTTTTTTCAGATCCCTATTATTTGTTGTTGAGGCACTGGAATTAATTATTTGCCCAATATTTATTGTGTAAGTCAAAGTACAATCTTATCTTATGCTAGTAGTAAAATTGGATAAATAACTTGCATCTGCTCACCCTTTATTTTTATTTCTAGTTACATTCAAATTAGGAGTAAAAACTTTTTTATTAGGCTTTGCTCCACCAAGTAAAAGATCTCGGGGTGCTTTTAAAGAGGCTAAACGTTGCAAGGGATTAGGCGCCACACCATTAGCATTTGTTTTATCCTCAGGGTTAGGCATTTCTCTTAATATGACACTTTTTTTTAAATAAACAATAAAACAAACAATCTTTAGACACTTAGGTAAGTTTTAACTTTCGAGTCTACAGGTAACTTTTTATAGCTATATATAGATTTATATAAGATCAATGATAGTGAGAATATAGAAACGATTAAAACCAAAACATTTTAATGATTCAGGTTTATATCTTAAATTTGGTTTAATGCAGTATTCATGAGCAAAATTGTTTTTATATTGCAATCATTCATACATCAGAGCGGCAGATGACAGTAAACATGTGTCATAAAAGTTGCTTTATCTACGGCAATTGTATCTCTTCCTTCTAGGAAGCCTGCCACAGAGTAGAACTGAATAAAAGCCACGAATCAAAATCGTTGAATTAAATGGTAGCTTTTCAAAACGTAACGTACCTGCATAATACCTCTACACTTTTTCCCAAATTAAAATTATAAATTTAGCTTTACGATTGTACTTTAATAAGCCATGGGAGACTCGCTTTTTGACATCTTCGGAGACGCAACGAGGCTGGAGGTAAAAAATGTATCCCGACTACCGTTATTGTCTAATGGTAAGATTCTTGCCTATGAAGCTCATTTAAGAATATTATTGTATTGATGTTTGACCTTAAATCTTAATTCAACTCTTGACTTCACCAAAGACATCGTAAAAAATTCGTTCTATTTATTATCAGTTACAGTTTATATGGACTTTTTGTAGGTACTTGCAACTTTAATAAACATGACTAATGTTGTTTTAGAAAATATGGGAAAAACCATATCATCTGGACCAATGAAGCCTAATGAACCTTCACAGCCTGTAAAGAAGATTGATACCAATTTAAAGAGATCATTTCTATCCAACACAGGAAAAGCCTTGCAAAGTACACCAATCCATCCAACCTTTACACCAGGAGTTAAAGTACGATCTGTTATTTACAGTGATGACAATAATGCAGAAGCAGAAGAACTATCATTTGCAGAAATAGAGTTCACTAGGCCAACTTACAGATATGGTATACTTTGTATTCTGATTATTTGCGCAATTTAATGTGTACCACAACTTTATGGACCATCTTAAGCTTTTAGATTTTACTAGCTTAATTGGTGAACATGTGTTTTTCAGACAACAATGAAACTGATATGTTTGACTACCTCCCTCTTCCTGAGGTGAAGGTGTCAGTAACGTTGACTCCTCCTAAGACTCCACCACCACTCCTGATGAATAAACCAACCATCAATTTTGATTGTTCATATGATGATGATTTTTATACAGGTATAACAATTTTACTTCTACCTTAATAATTTCAATCAATGTAAAAGTTGTAGGAAAGGCAAGCTTTACAATTATTTACACTACAAGCCTCTAGCTATATCATTTACTAGGTGCGTCAGCGACTTCGTCCGCGTGGATTAGATATTTTGGGCATCCAAACTTGTTCTTTATAAACATATTCTTCATCTTTATAAATTTAGGACGTTACCCATCGGTCGCGTCGCGTCGGTCATAGTCCGTCGTTTAAGTCCCGTAGTTCTTGTAAGTTAATCTTAAAAGATATACATATAGTGTCGTGGACAATTTTGGAGAGCATTTAAAGAGAAATAATTCTTTGAAACTTATTTTTTGGGTGTTTTGAACCGTTTTCGCAGCGTAGGCATAGGAAACCCAGAGGTGAATAATTTCCCCCGTTTTTTTTCTCATTTCTCGCTATTCGATGGCTCCTATTAGTCACAGCGCGATGCTTCCTCGATAAATGTTTTACGTAACACAAAAATATTTTTCTAATTCAAACAAGTAGTTCCTGCGATTAGCGAGTTCAAACAAACTTTTTAGCTTTATATATATAAAGCATAATTTTTAAAGAAATTTTTTGTTTTTAAACTCTACTTTGAAATCATTGTTTCAGATGACTTCTCAATTGACAGTCTGCCCGAGGTGGATTTAAATTTGCCTGATTTATTTTAATTCATTTTTATAAAAAGTTTTAAAGTAGCCATGCTTATTGTAATATTTTGAAAGAGTGTGCAAAATTTTTGTTTAAACAATGTTCAATTCAGATACATTGAATAAGTTCAAAGATAGTGTCAACTAATCGAGAACTGTCTTACAGAAGCTGGCCTAACAGGTCCAAGCTTAAGATTTTAATTAGACTTGCAACGAATATTCGGTTACTATTCGGTATTCGGCCTATTCGGCTGCTTTTATTATATTCGGCCGAATACCGAATATCTACATATTATTCGGCCGAATAACGAATACTTAAATAATATATTTTGTCATAGAGAAATAATTGGTAAAATGAAAAATTAAAATCGATTGCTTACGTATATATTCATATTTTTATTTCTGTTATAATCATATAAGTAGTCATTGGTACATAATACTATAATAGTAGTAATTGGTACATAATAATAACGAGTACGTTAGAACAAAACGAAGTAGCGCGAAACAATCACGTCTGTACAAGTTTTGGGAGCAAAAATCCAGCCGAATACTTTTGCCTAATATTCGACTATTCGGTCAGGGGTCTCGCCGAATATTCGGTATTCGGTATACTGCCGAATATACTATTCGTTGCAAGTCTAATTTTAATATATATTTAGGGTTTGTCAAAAATAAAAAATGGGCCCACTTTTTATGTGTAAGTGAGAAAATGAAATTCTAGTTACAATTATTACATAAAAATAACACATGTGAAATTATTCAGTTATTCTAACAGTTATACATTCATCAGAAAATGTCTGTTAATGTAAATACTAGATTGATACAAATACCATAATAGTATTCTAGAATCTAGATAACATTAATAATATTTTTAAGCATTTTAATGACATAATAAACAAAACACTAATTTTTTTATCTGTCTTTTAATAACATCTTATAAGTATTTCTATAATATTACATTATAATGAATCTATAACATTTGTTTGCAATGTTTTTAGCTTGAACACTTTCTCTATCTTTACATCAAGTCTATTTGTGTTATGATAGTCTTATTCTAAATTCATAAAGTAATTATATTTTACACAAACACAATTTTTTATTTTGGTGTCCATTTCACTATTTGTTCAGTCCTTGAGTAAGAGACCCTTTAAATCAAACTTTGGCTATGTAAGATACTTCTTACCAAGCAATTGAACCCTCTTCTCAAATGCTGGAAATGTAATAGCAGTATCTTCTTTGTAAAATGGGTTCAACATAAGTTTTATGTACGCTTCATATACATCAGTGAAGAAATTTTTTATTCCATCTTCATTTCTTGAATCATGCACCATTATAAAACGCATCTGCATTTAAAATCATATTATAGGTTTAAAAATATACCAAAACAATTTAAAAGCAACATACAATTATGATAAAACATCACCATTACTTTTAACATGCATTGATGTTTTAAATTGCTTAGGAAACAACTTACAATGGGTCCTGCTTTCATAAGCAATATGCTCGAAAAGCTTATTAAATGTATGATGCTGGTAAATGATATTTGCAATGAACAAACCTGACTAGCTGTGACAAATGCAGACACAAACCACTGATTGAACTTATCTACAGATTTAAGATAGGTACTTGTGCCTTTCCACATATGTTCATCGACTAAATCGAGTGCTGCGTGAGCAATGAATTGATTGAGATGTCTATTGTCCTCTTTCTGCAATAACAATACAAATAAATAACATTGGAAGTTATTGAAATTTAAAAGAGAAATCCTGCCATTGAAAAATGTGCTTTAAATATTATTGGATATGAACCTTAACTTCCTTAGTCACTGGAATAAAGTCCATTTCAAAAATCGGATTATCAGAGTGGCCTACAATCACAAAGTAATACGTCCCAGCCATATTTGAAAAATTTATTCCAAATTTTCTATCGCATTTGTAAATAAAAACCTTATATTTGTTTGTATAATATTGTGACTGGAAAAAAGTCTATTACAATTTACAAAATAACGTCAATGTCAGAATATATAAATATAGTCAAATGCCAGTTCACAGTCATTAGTTCCACAAGTTAAAGACCAGACTATACCAATCTGATATTATCTGTAATATGAACACATTTTTAGGCGCCAAAAGGCTTCATCGCATCGATGTGATTTAGAATTTAGATTAATTAAGTGCTTTTCATTACTTAGAATTCTTTTCACATTATAACAAGAAAAATATATCATCGAAATGAAAAAAGGTAAATAAAGGTCAACTTTTAGTTAGTAATTTTTAGTAAGTCTATTTAATTTCTACTTTAACATGTTCCAGAATTTGCAATAAATAGTTTAAGATTGTGGCGGTCAGAAAACTGGACACCATATGGAACAGAATCTAAAAATTTGTTTGTAAGAATGCACATAGATCAACTACTAATTACTTCGGGCGATGAGATATTAGAATCTCTGAACATGAATGGAAAAATAAAAGGCGTATATAAAGAAGACGTTTTGTTATTAGTGGTAACAGAACACCCAAAAGAGGTACTATTTAATTATAAATTACTTATGAAGTTAGGTTACTTTCTTTGCTTAGATTAATACCAAGGGTTTAAATATTCGTTTCCAGGTGCGAAAGATCAAATTTCGAATACAAAACAATGCAGTTAAAGTTTTGCGACACCTCGGGGAGCACTTTCCTATAACTAAGTACCAGAGTACAAAATTTCATAAGAAAATGAAATATCGCAAAATAGATGAACACATTCACAAGACCATAAAAAGGATACAGAATGGTAATACAATTTTTGTTAATTAAACTTTTTGTCACTTAAGATTTATCACAATCAAAATTATGCACTGAATCGTTATTTTACAGAAAATTTTTCATCTTTTCAACTGCCGAAGTCATATGACGAGTTTATTAAGATATGTCTTTTAGATCCAGCTTTTCCAAAACTTATTACGGAAACCCAAAATATTATCAACTCTAAAGGATTTCTTGAAACAAGTGGAAAGCAATAATTTTGTGAATAGAGTATATAAACACAAAAACATATTCTGGTCCTGAACACTAAACTTGAATATCTGATAAACGTGACTTTAACTTCAATGAAAATAAATTTTCGGAATATTTCGACTTTAAGCTTAGATGAAAATCATCACTAAGTTAAAAGTGATACAATAAGAGGTTACTTCTTGTTAAATATAATAATTTAATTAGATAATTTTCATGGAAAATGTCTACATTTATATCTATAGATTTTGTCTACCCAATCGCTCTCGCACATTTTTTTTTCTAGAAAATAAATAAAATACATTAATCACGACTTATATTTAACTATGTAACATTTTGCTGTAGCCAGCTAAGGTAGTGAGTCACACGAGTGTAGACACCCGGATATCCGGGCTCCCCGCATTTGTTTCCAAAGGAAACCACGCCTATTTGTGTCCATCGGCCATTTGCAAGCAACATTAGCGGTCCACCGGAATCGCCCTGGAACAAAAAAGCAGCTTTAAAACGCGAAATATGTAATTTAAGGTAAAAAGTGCAAGCACCACAGGAACATACAGTAAGACTGTATGTTCCTGTGGTGTTGTGTTTAATCGACCTCAAGATGCACCGTACCTTCTTTTAAATATAATGTGTTCGCGTGTATTTACCTGACACGCGTCAACTCCGCCTCTCGCGTATCCAGCGCAGAGGAAGGTATCAGTGATCGGCTGAAAGTAGGCTCGATCGCACTCTTCATTCCTCCAAACTGGCAACTTAGCCTCCAGCTGTTTGGAGCTCTCACCGCCTCCGTACCGTGTAGTGCCCCAGCCCACCACCGTGGCCACCGCGCCGTCGAACTGCTGCCTCGCTACGTCTCCGGTCGGTAGGCATATTGGGATCACGTACTTCGATTTCTGCACGTTATCTGAAACGTTAATATCGGGGCTTTACTACAGTTCAATGAGCGGCGTACAATAAATCTTTGTCATTCTGCAGCCGTTAGGGTAGAAGAACGTGACCTACTACAGATCCTTCGGTTTTATACCTGTTTAAATTTCAATTAATTGCTATCCTTCGCGCAAATTCTGTACAACGAACCATACAAGAAGTAAAGTACCAATTATTATCTATTTTACATACTCACCCGCCAGGACTAAGATTGCAATGTCATTGTAAAATCCCACTCTTGAAAATTGTTCATGGGCGCGAACGGCAACCACGCGCATCGTTACGGGACGGGACGGCTCGTCTTCACGTGACAGGTCTACGTCACCGAGACGAACGGTAAATTGGCGAGGAGGAAATCTAGAATAACATTATGCATTTAATGAGCAGAAGACAAAAGACCGATCATTAATTCAGAAATCAATTTTTGAATTAATTTAGTAGTTATTGTTCACAACATACGGCCTTTGTTTAGAATCTCTGGTACAATGAGCAGCTGTTAACACATGACGTCTTCCGACCAATGTGCCACCGCACCAAAATTCTCTTCTCTTATTGCCGTGTAGATAAATAGCTACCATCCACGGCCAAGCTCCAGGTTTTGATTCCGACCCACCAACTATACGACCACCCTCGTCTTCACGCTGACCACACTCTGTAAATTGAGATAAAATAGGTTATTTGTCCCTGTCAACAATTGTATGTCATATTTTAAATCACAAGGATCTAATCTTAGGTAATTTGTTATTTATTTTTGTATTATTCTTACCATTAACATCCACAATATTAGAGTAATTTCCAATGACAGGTGGAGCTACGGTATAAAATGATGTTGTCGATGGTATTTTTGTTGTGGTCGCGGTTGGTTTAGTCACATGCGTTAATGTAGTTGTGTTCGGTTTGGGCTTCTTTGTAGTCAGGACTAAAACTGCTGAAGGTTTACTTGTTGTGGAAGGTATAGAAGTTGTCGTTTTCTGCGTCGATACAGGGACCAGATAAGTTGGTTTCTTTGTGGTGGCAAGCACAGGTTTGATAGCTACTGCCGGTGTCGACGGTACTACAGCATCTTTTGGACAGCATACTCCGGGAACAAAAAGGTCTTTGAAGCACAACGATTCTCTGAGATTTATTAAATTCAATAACAGTTGAGGGCAATTGCTTAGATCTTCACAAACCCCTTCTTCTCCCTCAGGAGTTCTGCAGGATTTAGCATCATTTTCGTTCACATTGGCCGTCGCTATTTTGGTTATCGGCGCATCTGGGAGTACTTTTGGTAATGCTTTCTTTACGATAGGCGCAATTTTATCAGTTACGTTTCTTCCTAAAACGTTTTTACTGATAGTGTACAAAGCTTGGGGGAGTTGTTGTAAATTTGGGTCACCATCTTTACGATCATTGTCGTTTACCATATCTACGAGATAATGCCCTACCGTGTTTATTGCGCCGAGGGTTTCTGATATTCTCGTAAAAGCCGATTCTGACAGCAATCTACCGTCCCCAGATATAGTGGGACTCTGTATGGATTCCCCGCGAAGTAAGCCACTCGACGCCCGACTGTCATAATATTGAGGATACCTAGGCATAGTGAATTGTCTATCATACAATCCTTGACTGTCTGGATTGCTTTGGTATCCCTGATCGAAGTCCGGTGATCTCTTCCGAGGTATCGAGTACTGGTTCCAATGAGTATATCTCATATTTTGTAAATGGGAAATCGTTTCATCCGTGTTCCGTCTGAAGGAGACTGAAAATGTTTATAGTTCTATTATAACATATGAAAGTAATAACCGGTAGATATTTTGCTTTATGCTACATAATACGGTGCCATCTAGTATAATAAGTTTGATGCGTACCTACCCGGGTGGAGAACGGTCCGTTGGCTTTCGGTCCGCGGTGCTAGTGAAGTGATACCTGAAAATGATACAGATTTTACTAGACTGTTGGTCCATACAAAAGTTAATTTAGTTAAAATGCTTTAAGTTAAATCCTAGCCAAGTCTAGATAGGCGTCAACTTTGAGTCCATGTCCATGTCAAAATAAAGCGTTCGCCTTTACGCGTGATACGAGGAGAAAGTAACCTCTATTGTTTATGCTTGCATAACACCGAGTTTTGTCTAAAATGTTAACTTTGGGTAAAGAATCATCTTCAATTTCAGAACCTGTTATCTTAATCCCGAGCTATACTAGATAATTTCGCTAGTACATTTTTTCATAGCCTTTTAAATCTCTAATAAGTAACGAATTTATTCTATTATCTGTGTGGACAAAAAAATCTAATATAAAACATTAGCTTTCGTTTAAGCTAGAAAGGTTATTAATCTTCTGTGAATAATAGATTGCTTAGTAAAAAAACTATACACCAAAATAAGTTACCTACGCACACATAATAGCATAATAGATGACCTCGGGGAAATACGCCGGGCTGCAATATTTATATGCACAGTGCGTTTCACCTACTTTACAGCTCATATATAGTTATGTAATATTGTAACTTTATAAGTAACCGGACTTTAAACTTTACTCAATAACACGCTCATTAATAAATTTATGTTTTTGCGACAGTGGAAAAGGAATATGAGACCTGAGACTTAAATGAGAGATGTTTACATATATTTCCGACTAGCTGTCGTTCTTGCGAGTTAATCTTAAAAGATACACATTTAGTGTCCCGGACAATTTTTTAGATTATATAGAGAAAAATTATTCTTTCATACATATTTTTGGGTATCTTGAACCATTTTCGCAGAGTGTGCATCGGAAATCCAAAAATATTTGTTTTCCACATTTTCCGCCGTTTCTTCGCTCTTATTAGTCACAACGCTATGTTTTATAGCCTATTAGCCTTCCTCGATAAAGGCTCTAACGAATACATTTTTTTTTAATTCGAACTAGTAGTTTCCGAGATTTGCGCGTTCAAACAAACAAACTCTTCAGCTTTATATATTAGTATAGAGTATAGATAATCGTAAAGCGGGCTCAGTCGTGGGTTAGAGGCATTCATTTTCACATAAATTGTCGCAAATAAAAGTAAAATTTAAATTAATGTGTCATTGCATCTACTCAAATTGCTATCGCTAGCGCCTGACCGAAACTTCGGCTTCGGCCACCAAAGAATCGTGACTAACTTGAACTTCTTTAGAGGCGAGATGCGCCTCGAAGCCAATAGATATATATTTATTGACTTTACAAGAACACACACTTTTCTAACCAGCTCTTAACAAGTGCGTTTCAAATTAGCTTTTACATCTCCGCCACACATAATAACGGCCACCATCAAGACATTGGTTTCAGCCGAAAACTCAGTACGTCGTAAGGTAATAAGGTTTTTTACTAGTGACATTTATTTTACTTCATTGACACGACTTTTTTGTGCTCACAAACGTTCGTGAATAGGCAGCCTTAACCCGCTGACTCATTGACCGGCGCTAAGTGAAAGTGTGTGATGTCACGCATTTTACTTGTCGCTAATCTGTAAACATCTTAACAGAACGACATTAGAAACTATGTGGGTCGGACGAAGAATACATCGGGCCCATTTACATGAACGTTTTGCAGCCACGACGTTATGAGTATGAATATGGCGTACAGCACTGATAATAGTGATGGTTCGTGATTTGGACAGTTTTGCATTAACTGTGTTCAATATTCCGCGTTCGATTACTTGTATTTTTTAATAGATATCCTACCCTATAATATATAGATATATGGTTTGCAATTCGGTTACTATCGGTATTCGGCATATTCAGAGTCTTTTATTGTACTCGGCCGAATACCGAATACTTAAGTTATGTATTTAGTTAAAGGGACTCGAAAATTTATTAAAAAAGGCAAAGATAATAATTCTCATATTTTTGGCATTTGGCATTGCAATCGTGATAAACATATTCAATCGCTAAGTTATACATTATGTTATTGTTACGTTGGCTTTACATAATAATAACTGTGACAATGCACGCGGATGTGGCGCAAGCGTAAGTCTCTCAAATCCGGTTCCGAAACAGGACTACGAATTACGAAGAAGCTAAACTGCACGCACATCCTACGACTTGAAGACAAAGTCAATATGCAAACTGCATCTTGCTAGGTCTAATAGGACTCTAAAATATGGCAGATTAATTCGCGGCCATTTTTTGGGATATAGCGAAAAAAGTAAATTTGAGATTATATGGAAAGCTTAAAACGAATATAGGAGCCCCGAGAGCCGGTCTAATTTGTGCAACCCACGATTTGCAGTCCCGTTCCACGTCATAATTATTTTACAAAATGAAATCCCAAATTACCAATGAGCACGAGAAAAACCGGATCGAAGGCTCCACAATTCTTTTGTGGCGGTTCGATGAACCCGACCCAAATATTTTTTCGATATCGACATTGTTCCTCTGCCTCTCGAGCCTCTGAAATTTACCTTCATTAATACTTCCATATGAGGCGTAAAAGGTAATTGGACAAAAAAGACCATACAATTTTTAGGTACCGACAGGCGCGAGAAATCAAATAGTGGGATTAAAAAGCATTTAAAGAGTCTTCTTAACACGCTATTATTTTGCACTTTGACAAAATAATGTTATATTTGTATTTATTTTGCTAAATTTACAATTTCTTATAACGAAAACAAACCCTCTGAGAGATATTCATTGCTAAGACAAACATTCATAGTTAGATTTATTGGCGTCATTGAGAACATTCACTTTTACGTAATAATTATCAGAAACTGAATAATTCATATTACTTGCATCTGTGCACCGAGCACAGAGTGTTGGGAATAGTTGGGACGAATATGTATATGTAGAAACATTAATTTCCGGAAATAATAAAATAGGAGAGATTAAATAATTGGTACTATCCGTGCAATTTGGAAAGAAAATATACTTCTAGACGTCTATCTAATTGACGTGATTGAATGTTTGTTTACTGTGACATAACAATATGCAGAATGTCCCAACTGTTTTAATAACCCTATAACAAATCAATAAGCTGTCAATAAAAAAGAATAATGACATTATGAATCTGCTTACTGACTTTAACCCGTCTGTTATTGCTTACAGAATATGGCACAATTATTGTAGTGTACATAAACGAAATAAGAAGCAAATATATATATAGGTTCAATATAAGTTGGCCTTAAACGATTTGCAAGTGTTCGTCTTCGGTGAAATCGAATTAAAAAGCGGCTATTTATTAGTTTCATTAGCAAAAAAATAAAGCGTGCTCTCACTAAAATTGGTGCTTTTCTTCTTATTTGGTAAAAAGAAGTAGGTGTCGCTTTCACTGAGCACTGTTTAATTACAAAAATGGCTACGAGGACAATACCGTAAGCCGATTTCGTAACTTAGGAAAGTTAACGCTTTTTACCCATAAAATAACCGAGTATAGTTCCCAAGATTGCCTTGTCTTATCGAAATTGATCTGAATATTGGAGGAGTTTATTTACTTTGCCCACGTAGGATTGTCGATTGAAAAAGATTTTAATATTTCCTTAATGGCACCTGCAATATTTAATAAATTTGTTCTTTTTATAATAAAATTATATTTGTAGTATATTGATCCTATGTAAATCAAGTGAAACGTAAGGAGCTCCTTCTATTACCGAGTCTCTTTTATCATTTGATTACTTTGTAGGCTTAAAAGAATGTATACGTACCGAAAACAATAAGAAATACTATATCTATGGCACGACACTTCCCTGTACGCACTAAATTCGCCATAATGTCTAATCTAATGCAGTTTACGTCACTACACTTTCACTAGAGCCGTGTGTAACATCGCATCACTTATGAAACCAGGGGCTCTGCACTCGGTGAAGTTCAATGCACCAGAGATTTGTTAAGAAAAAATGAAAAACAAATCGGGAACGTCAAAAGGCAGTAGGGATTCAAGCGAGACGCCCAAACGTCAGATGGAACGTTTTTTGAATTTGAAAAAAACGTGTTTCGCGCTTACTTTCATGGCACGTTATGCGGAGCGCACGTCTCGCGCTGTGCTTTTACTTTCAAACACGAGACAGAGGGGATTTGTGGCATCTTAAGCAAGAAACGATACCCCGGGCTTGGGATGCGTCAACGAAATCGGTATTGGACCCGTCGACATTGACCTCTTGCGACTCAATTAAAATATTTATCTATTATTATCATCTATCATCTATACTTTCTTGCATCCTGATCGCCGTATATATATTATTATAAAATTATAGTAAATAAGAGCCAATAAGGACCATATTATTAAAAGATGCTGTCATGCGGTTTACCGGACCTTACGAAGGAGGTTTTGTAACGTTTCCACTAATGGACCGAAGAAGTTACAACACTTGGGTTTTACAAACAATAATACTCGCGCTGTGTTATATTTTAAATTTCCTTAATCGTTCGTTAAAGTCGTTAAAGCGTTCATAGATTATTCTTTCCTTTGTTCGGTCAACTAACCGGGGTTAATGTGTGCAATAATAAAAAAAATATTTCGATTTCCATTCGATCGATAGGAATAGATTTTTCCAATGTGACGGAATAGAGCTGCGGAGGTACCGCAGCTCTATTCAACAAAATATTCTTCGTAAGAGTTGACCTGAATTTCCTTCTGTATAGGCTCAATACAGGAAGTATAAGAATAAAGGCGATTCATTCTCGATAACTTCACCCCGTCTTTTGTGGAGGATCTATATTCCAACGCCGCGCTCATCCTTTGTGTATCCATTGTACGATTATACCTGTGATACTATCTTTATTTTATGATTTTATTTGTGTGACTTTGTCCATAAGAAGATTTTTATAGATCAATCAATTAAGGTTTTCTATAACAGAGGCGGACAGACTAGCATAGGGCTCATCTAATGGAGGGCTAAATATCTTAGCTATGATTAAAATACACGATCAAACTTTGAACGGCTTTGGACATTAAATTAGCAGAATGAAACTAAAACACAATTACAATTACGGGTAGTTGTACCTACAATATCCAGGCGAAATCTGGCATATAGGTATCAGACATAATAAAAAAAAATATTTTAAACATATTGGGCCTGGTGCAAATTGCACTCTCTATTAACAATATTTTGACATAATAAGATTTAAACAATTGTTTCCCTTAATTGTAAAAATCTAGTTAGGCAATTAGGGCGTTGTAAAAGTGCGGTGACACTTTTATAGTCTCTGGCACGGAATAGTGTTGTCATTACTGTGGCAGCACATCAAAGTGATGCAGATGCGATGCACTCTCGACGAGAGGGATGATAATTACGTTTCCCGCCATAATGAAACGTGAGTGGTCATAGAAATATTGGCGTAACCTAGCCGTCTGCACCGAGAAGAAGAACATTGGTACATTTCAAGATACTATTTTAAATATATCTTTATTCTTCTTATGCTTTGGCAACTTTCCTTTTGAAACATTCATCAATATTATGTTTTTATTTAGAAAAACAATTTTTTCTTTCGCAAATTTCTCTTAGAAGTGGGCGCGCGGTTTCTATAGTTTTTATTGGGGCATCTTACGAGCTCGAGATTACTTTTTTTAACAAAATATATTAGTTACCTTATTTAAAAAATTACAATTTATTTTATCTACGGCCCTACGGTTTGGATACTATGCAGCAGCAGCAACTAATACTTTTTGGGTTTTAAACCGTTGAAAGTGTTTTATTTAAATACACTTCAATATCACAATTTTAAATTAATTTATCAAAAAAGTTTTTGGCAAACATCAAAGATTGTTTTAAAAAGGCCTTAAGATAACAATCTATACTAATATATAAAGCTAAAGAGTTTGTATGTTTAAACGCTCTTATCTTAGGAACTGCGGGTTCGAATTGAAAAAGTATTTTTATATTGATTAGACCATTTATCGAGGAATGTGACTAATACAAGGCAAGATACAGCGAGAAATATAAAAAAAAATGGGAGTTATTCATCATATTCAGTCACCCAATCCAATCTTTAAATGATCTAAAAAATAGTCCGCGACGCTATATTTTAAGATTAAATTACAACCGACCGACGTCGTGGGTAACAACAGCTTAAGTTTATAAAGATAGGAAGTTTATAAGAAAGACGGCCATAAGAACGATTCTCGCGGGAGAAGTCACCGACACAGCTTGTGATAACATATATTTACTTTTTAGTCTTGTGTCATAACTTAGAACAGAGAAAATCAATTTTAGCGCGCTTCGGCTTAAAGCTTAGATTTATGTCAAACTTGTCAGAAATGGCCTCAATTCTTGTGGTTGTACATGAGAATCTGTCCATGCTTCGTGTGTTGGGGAATGGCGAAATATGTACAATCTATTGATTGGCATAGTCCTTTAAACAATTATATATTGTCTGGATTAGACAATAAACATATTTGAACACATAAAGAAGCCGGTCTATATATACATTTCTATAAACGGAAAGATCTTTACGTGCCCCGCTGAACCGAATCGCTCGCGTTTAACAACTACCCGCGACGCGTTACGATGGCGTATCGTATTATGTATTACCAACACCGTTAAAAATCGAAGAGTTTCTTAAATATAAAAACCATGATTTGTTATAGCTTTTAAATGCCTAAATAGATTTATGTCTTGAAGAACCCTTCCTTAAATATCAATAATCTTAAGAATCGATGTTTTATTCATCAAAAGAATGATTAATGACAAATAATATATTTTAAAATATAAACAGCGAAGGAGGTAATAAGTGACACAAAGTGAGTTTGTCGAGAGCTCTCGTTCAATATCAGCTGTGAAGTGGACAAAGTGGCTCTGCTTATAATATTGGGTGACTGACGAACATTTTTGTTTCATAATAATCGTGTTTATATTTTTATTGCATTTAGGATTTTTGAGAAAGGGATTATTATTTAAGTAGGTAAAGCTGTCACTTGTAACTACGAAATAACAATTTTACGTGTAAAACAAATGAATTCTTTATGTACTTGTGCAAAGTTGTTATATTAATTCTTTAATTTTCTTCACTGACAACCGAATCCAAATTTTATGATTTTGAAATTAGATGAAAATGTCCCATTGAACCATATTATATGATTCCACAGAATTATTCATAACATTCTAGGCCAAACGTTAGCTAAGAAAGACTTAAAGCGAGGTTCCGCGAAGGCTGCGTCAATTCATGTACGAGGTCACGCTACAGAACTAGTGTCGCTGAGGGCTCGCTCTAAAATAGATTAATTGGGAGTCGGGATTAATGTACATTTCTCAGAGGCAAGCAAAAAAATCTTCATTCCGAGTTTCATGTTATGCCGAAGCCGAGTACAATGTCGTAAGACAAGTAGGAAGCCACCATAAATTTACTCTATGTTTCATCGTTAAATGTGTAGATCGTAAATATGACCCGTCGATGGAGTAATAACCGATTTTAATTGATATATCGGCGTAGTCGATTGTAACTTAACGTCAAATCAAACTCACAAAAAGTATTACATGTGAACAGTTTTAATGAAACGAACATGGCGGAAGCTGAATTTATTAAATACACGATCAATACGGAAGGGAGACTGCCAGACAGGGGGCAAATTTAATCTGCACGTCCTGCCGTGGGGCCAAGGGTGATTTGGTCAGTTAGGCTTTGACCACACGGTTGGAGACTTTTGAACGAGCACAGTTTGACGGGTTTATTATATATCTTCGTTATCTGGAAAGCTGCGGATTAATTTCGGTGTGAGAAA